CAATAAAAAAAAAGAACTGAATACATAGAGGGAAAAGATGTGTTTGCTCATATCTTACCAAACGTATCGCATTGAGACGTCTAAAGACGTTTCCTGATCTGTTTGTAACCATCCTGTGCTGTGATTAAAGCAGCTTCTGCATTGCATGGATCTACGTTAAAAACCTTCAATTTCTGCTTGTTCCTCGTTTTTTGACTTTTAGATCCCCGTCATTGTTTCTCCTCCAGAGAAATACTATGTTAGAGTAACTTACCCCATTTATGAGGTCACTCAGACGCCTATGCTCTGATTGGCTGAAATGATCCAATGGGAGGAGAAAGAACCATTGGATCTGAGATCTAACCAGCAGTCATTGAGTTTGCTCCCAAAGCAGGGAGTAGTACTGCTGAAAATAGCTGCATGGTTTCATTCATGTTTAATTCAGACGGAGCTGGAAAAACTCTGCTTTCTGATTTATTCACGGCGGAAAGAGCAGAGCAGTTCATCATGAGTCAGAGGTTATGCCTTCTGTTCGCTGAGAGGAAGCTTAAACCCATAAATCAGGTTGGATAAATCTTCAGAGTTTACACTGAGAGAAAGAAAGGAAGTAAAACGACTCCCTGTCAGAATGATGATGGGGATGTTTCTGCCTGAGCTGCTTGGATGCAGAAAGAATCAGGTTTTCCGTTCATTCCCGACAGTAAAATATTTTTTCTCTCAGACAGGATTCACTGAAGTATGGAGGAAACTTTTCCCTGCAGCGATGGTCGACATTTCAGCTCTGAGACGATCTTGTTTTCTTCTGCAGTAACTGAGTTCCCTCCATTAAAGAGTAAAATCAAACATAGTGATCAATGCCCCGGGTCCATGCTAACCACTTTAGTATTTTATACATTTAAGAACTGGATGATGCTTTTACTGAAAGATGTTGCAAATTGCCGATTTGATTGAGATGCAAACCTTCAAACTTTAGAATAAATTTTTATCCATCTCCAACCACCTAAATATGGATTTAAACATGTGGCAGCCATATTGGATATGAGGTCAGGGTTGATCAGACTTTAAAAGTGTTGTGGAGGATTTTTTTTAAAGATTTAAAAGTTTATTTCAATTCAGTTTATTTCTATAGCACCAATTAACAACACAAGTCATCTCAAGGCTTGTTTTTATCTAAGTGAAACCAGCTGATTGCATCGACTCATTGACTCTTCAGCAATCCCTCACACTAAGCATGCTTGTAGCGACAGTGGAGAGGAAAAACTCCCTTTAAACAGGAAGAAACCTCCAGCAGAACCAGGCTCAGTGTGAGCGGCCATCTGCTGAGGCCCACTGGGGTTCAAGGAGACAGAAGCAGACATAGAAAAAGAAGCATAGATACAAAAGGCAACTGTCAACCAGCTCCACAGGCGGCCCCGTCCAGGAAACACACAGCCAGGCAGACGAGCTCCGAGCCAGCTCCCATGTCAGAGTATGAAGAGAGCACATCCAGTTAGTCACAGTCAGAGAAACAGGACTGCACTGGAAAACAGGCCAAGCTCCAACATCTAGAAACAAAGGTGTTGATGGCAGCAGAGGGCAGAACGTTAGAGATTGAACTAACAGATTCTGCAGAGTGGGAGAATAGAGATAGATTGAAGCAGAATGATGAAAAAGGGGTCCCTATGTCCTCCAGCAGTCTAAGCCTATAGCAGCAGAACTATAGAGATAGCTCAGTGAAAGATCGTCCTCTGTCCCTTTAAATGTCAGAGATCTCCCCTCTTAGAAGAAGCTTCAGTCGTTTCTTTTTTCCAACCTAGAATATGATCATAGCTTCTGAAGTCGTACCATTTGGATCTTTAATCATCATCATAGACTGAATATGAGAAACAGGAGAGTTTCTGCTATCATGACCTGATCTGACCTGCCTCTGACTGGGTCAGGGTTCAGGTGATGCAAAGCATCTAAATCAGACCTGACTATGTAGTAAATAACAAATATTTCTAAAAAAGTGATTGAAAAAAAGGGACTTAATCAATATCAAATATTTCTGAAATATGTTTTTTGTTTTTTTTTCAGGTTCTTTCTTTTCTATATGTGGTCTTTATTACATTTTTTGCTTGCTTTCTTAGAATCATAACATCTAAATTTGAACATTTACAAAGAAGCAAGACATTAAACTGAGTTAGAAAGGAAAACAAACGTTAAAAATTATCAAAAATCAAATCTAAAAATGCTAATATCAGTAAATATGTGTAATGATTATTAGACAGCTGGTCAGAAGTGTCACTTAAAATGTAGAGGTGAGGAAATACAGTCAGAAATGAGTGAACACCCGAATAAAAACATCAAAAATAATGCCTAAAAACGAAATAAGAAAGCAAATATGACCAGAAATACAATAAAACCAAATGAATGCACGCATATTTAAATCTAATGAACAGAAAACTTAAATTAGGGATGAAAATAAGGCATAGAAATGATGCGGTTTGTTAAAAAAGTGAAAACAGAAGCTTTGACTTGAGGTTTCTGTTAGAAGAGCCCAGATACTGAGCTTCTCCTCCAGCCTGACGCTTGGGATCACATGGCCGCTCTTTGTCCTCAGGCTGAAGTCGCTCTTAGAGTGCAGGCATGTAAACAAATGAGGGTCCTCACAACGTGAGCAGGAAAAGGCAAAACACACTCTGACGGGAACCCTGATTGGATCTCACACTGTTGCTATGGGATCTACAGCCCCGCCTCTGATTGGCCCGGCTCCAGACTCGGATTAGTCGCTCTCCTGTCATTCAGCATCCCTCTGTCGTCATGACAACAGACAGGAAGCAGGAGGAGATTGTTATTGTTGCAGCTGCCGGTCTGTGCAGCAGAAGAAGAAATTCCTGACGTTTTATTTTTTATTTTTAGTTCAGAGGATGATCCGACTGCAAACACAGGAGTGCATCCTTATCTGCAGAGAGAAATAGCTCCATGCCTCCAAACTCACACACTATCACAGTCATGCTGCGGGTCACTGGGCTGCGACCTGCTAATCTGGGACAAGATGATTATTAAAATGACAAAAAGCGGATCAAAGCGTTCAGTTGGCGTGCAGCATGATGTCCGTGTTTCTCTCTACATCTGTCCTCAGTCGTCTCAGCGCCGTGCTGCTATTTTCATTCAGCAGCCCTGCCTCCCTTCTCATGGCGGCTGCATTTGATGCAAATCAAACAGCAAAATATTCGTATTTCAGAGGAATCTCGCAGTTTTGACTCCCAGATGTTTTTCTATGCAACCTTCCCTGCAGAAAACAGTTTTTCCTCTCTGTCAGACAGCGAGCCTCCCAGAGGAGCAAACATTACTCTATGTTTAAGGAGGGGACCACACTTTACATAATGCATTATTACTTAATATTACTCATAAATTGAATTTAATACCTTTAGTTTTGCCATATCTTTTTGCTTCTTCATGTTTCAGAGGATTTAATTGAAACATTTATCTTATTCTATTTTTATGTGTTGATGTATTTTAGCCTTCAGCTCTTATCTTATGTTCCTTAACTGTGATTCCTGTACAACACTTTGGTCACTTTGGTTTTAAATGTGCTTTATAAATAAAGTTTGAGTTGAGTTGAATATTCTGAGTTTTTTAAGGTTAGGAGGTATTTATTTTGTGCGGATAAATCTGTTGCTCAGAGGTTCTGCCCAGATTAAGATAATCAACAGCGTAGGAAGTCTGTCTCTTGTGCTACGTTCACAGCAGACGCGCTTCGAGCAGCAAAAAACTTCTGCTGCTTCATTTCTGATGCTTGTCTACATGAAGGTCAGACATCCATTAATGTGTGTTTAGATGCATCTGATGCTTCTGCTGCTCCTGTGTTCAATAAACTGTTTCAGAGGAGTGATCATAGCGCTCTGCATCAGCAGTGCTGTGTCTGACTCCCTGCCAGCTCCCAGATCAGCTTCTCTGATTGGTTGATGTGGCGCGTCCAGCAGATAAAGTAAAATTTTTCCATCTCCACCATCTGCTGCTTGTGAAATTTTGAACATGTGAGCAAAGTTTCCAGGGAAAAACATTCCAAAAACAGGGCGAACATGTCATTTTTTTAATAAAGGGCGTATAATGTACGCCCGTACACATTGCTATCTGAAAGCCTGTAGGAGGTAGATTCTGCTCTCCCTCCTTAAACAGCATTCACTCTGCAGGCTGCTGGGATGCAGCAAAGCCAGAGATGATTTGATTTTATCTAAATCTACATGTTTCAAATGAGGAGAGTGCGCATCAGCCACTTTCCAGTGAAAATGAATCCCATTCACCATGGAAGGAGAAGTTTAGACCAGGCCATGTGCAGAAAAGCTTTGAAAGGTGATGTTTGGGTGAAATAGAGCTGAAACCGCGTCAGACCTGTCAGACCGGTTCCCGTCTCTCTCTGCAGGTCAGAACCTAAACCCCAACCACCCTCTAAAAATGGACAGGGAGGGGGGTAGCTCGCAGCGGGGGAAAGAGGAATAATGAGACTTTCATGTTTGCTGAACAAACAGGTGGAAAAAAAAGAACAATTTGTAACATGAATCCAGAAGGAAGCAGATGGAGGAATATCAGAGGGAAGCTGTTATATAAGCATGACCTCTGACCCAGAAACCTGGAAACTTTGGGAGAGAGATGGTGACGGCAGGAGATGAGGTGAAGGGTGGAGACCTGGACATGGCAGGAAGGTAGGAAAAGACAGGAGGACAGCAGGACTATGGAGGATTAACGCAAACAACGGACTTGATAGTTCAAATAAAGCTTCATTTCAGAATTAAAGCCCAATACGATGTAAATAATCTTATTGATAAAATGACTTTTTTTGGTTTCTTTCTCCCGTTTTCTTCCACACATGAAGACGGGTTATCCCACCTGAGCTCTAGGCGCCTGCAGCTCTCCCAGAGCTTCCTCTCCTAAAACTGTGTGTGATTCTACCTGATATTAAATCTATTTGCTTCCTTCTTTCCATTAAGTTTACAGTAACATGAATCTTTATAGTTTCCTCCTGATTAAAACGTTTCTTCTCCTTCGTGACTCTGCAGGTGAAGCCGCTCACCTAAGCACCACTCCATAACCTCCCTTCTTCCTCACCTCCCGCCCTCTTCCTCCTCCTGTTCTGGTTGCCGCCCGTTGCCATGACGACCACCCCGGAGACGATGCTGCTGCCTCCGGACCAGGGGCTGAGCCCCGAGCGGCTGGACGCCTGTGAGGGCGCTGACGGGCGCTACACGGTGGTCCCCTCCGTGGTCTGCTCCATGTGCTGCCTCTTTGGCATCATCTACTGTTTCTTTGGTGAGTGAAGAAGAGGATGGAGGCGATGAAGGTCGGAACCCCGGGTTTGATTTCCTCTCACCTCGATTCCTGGCGTGTCATTTCAGGCTACCGCTGCTTCAAGGCGGTGATGTTCCTGACGGGCCTGATGTTCGGCTCCGTGGTCATCTTCATGCTCTGCTACAAGGAGCGCGTGCTGGACACCCAGCTGAGCGTGGAGGCCTCTGTTGGCATCGGGCTGGGCATCGGGACGCTCTGCGGCCTGGTCACCATGCTGGTTCGCAGCGTGGGCCTCTTCATGGTGGGCCTGCTGCTGGGCCTGCTGGTGGGCGTGGCCACGCTGGTGGGCATGGTGGAGCTTTCTGAGAACCCGTCGCGCTCCGTCTGGGTGCCCCTGGGCGTCCTGCTTGGGCTGGGCATGCTGTTCGCCGTGCTGACGCTGCAGTGGCAGCGCCTCTTCACCACCATGTCCACGGCCGTGTTTGGTGCTGCCGTCATCACTGTGGCGTTGGACTACTTTGTGGAGCTCTTTGCGCTCATGTTTTACATTTATGAGCGGATTAAGGTGGAGCCGGGGAAGCCGGTGTGCTGGATGACGTGGTTGGTGCTCGGAGTGTGGCCCTCCCTCACCCTGCTGGGGGTCATAGTGCAGTGGAAGGTGACTGCTGAGGGATACTCCCACACCAAAGGTGAGATCATCAGAAATGTTCAGTGGCTTCCTGCAATTAAAACCTCCTTCACAATGAGAATTATTCAAAGTAAATCCGTCGTAAATTCCTGCTTTAAATCATGATGAAACATCAGACAAATAAGAAAGTTGTTTTCCGAATGAATGTATGTCCCCTCGGTAACCGTCCGATTTCCTTCCCAGTAATCATAAGCCGGCAGCAGAGGAGGATGCAGGTGATGCGGATTCGTCAGCGAGACGACCGCTACCGCAACAAGAAGAAGAAAAAGCAGCAACAAGGCTCCTCCCACCCTAACCAGGCCAAGCAGCTTAATGCAGAGCCCGCCTACCGCCGCAAGCCCAACCCCATCCGCCGCTACGACACCGACGTCCTGTCGCCGGTAGCCACCATTAGAGACGTTGCCTTTTTTAGTCAACTTAACTTAAAAATGTGAAAATTCGGCATCTCTAAAGCTGTTTTTTTGTTGTTTTTTGTGCAGAGTTACATCCAGAGTTTCCGGGACCGGCAGGTTCAGGCGCAGCCCTTCCCGGGCCGACTGGTGGGAGGCTCTCACGCTGTGGTGGAGATGGGCTACGACTGCAGCTCCACGACGCCGCTCACCGGGGCAGCAGGTCCTCCTCTACGAGCCTGACCAATCCTCCACCTCCCAGAGGTTTGATCAGGGAGGCAGCTGACTCTACAATCACTAAACTAACCACTGGATTGGAAATGCAACCACCTTAGTTTTAGCCACTTACCTAACAAGAAGAATTCCCATGCACACATTACATCCTTACTGGTTCATTAACCTCAGCTGGCTGTGGTCACTATGGTACATATGATGAATTAACCGCATCTTTTTTGAGACAAAATGCACAAAAAAATATATATAAACACTGAAAACAAACGTACTTTGCATCTAAAACCCTGAAGAATGACCTGAAGGAGCCGACTGAACCGATTCTCTGAGATTTCTGGTAGTTTCAATGCAAAACCAGCTCAGGTTCTAACATAAGACCAACCTAAACCCAACTCTGCTTCATTGTTCTGTCTTTCTACCGACGCTGGAGGAGCAACCAGCTTCTCAACCTCTTTATTTCATCAGTTAAAGGACAGCTAAACACAACTGGAAACACTTTCTGTGCCATCTGGAACACAACAACCCTCTTTAAAACCAGAAGAGACATCTTTTCTTTACTTTTATGTCGGGGGAACCCTTTGTCACCCTTGGTGCTGGACAGTAATCTTCTACAAGTGTCAAACTGCTCTCAGAAAACCGGGGAATCTCTTTAAATGGGTGCCTCGCCTCCTGGGACTGCAGGGTTCAGCCAGCAGGAGGTTCTCAATGGGAGGTTCCCCTTCAATGTTTTGTTGAACGGAGACGGTAGCCATGGCTACGCCAAACAGGGTTTAAGTAGCTTTGCTGTCTTCATGATGACTGCAGAGAGAAACTAGAGAGTTTTATTTACACTGGCACCTCCAGCGCATGTGGAAAATATAGGTCCTTGTTTTTCTACTTGAAATATTTAGAAACTGAAATGGTCTGAATAGAAATATATCAACAATGACCCACATTTTTGTTTGGCTCCATAACTGATTGTTCTAGTTGACGTTTTTGAGGCTTGTTTCCACTGTTGGACCAGAACCAGTGTTAGAGTTACTCCCCAGAAACACACTAATAAGTAATATGATAATGCTATTAAAACATCTCTTCCAGTAAACGCTGAATTTTGACCTTTGATGATTTATAAACACTGGTTTTCATCAGTTAGCATTTCAGTTCCTTGCCTTTTATAACAAGGGAGACACGCAGGAAATACAATAACATTTTCCATAAGGATTTATAAACACCAGCTTGAGATTTTAAAGGGGCTGACAGTGTTTATAAATTCAGCCATAGATTGTGATTACAGCCTAAACGGTACAATGAAAAATCACATTAAGATCAGTGAGAAATGTTTGATTTTTTCTATTTCAGAAAAGTTTTTTAGTTTGCATTTATTGGTAATAATGATTTCCATTTACGTGTCTTTATGCGGATTAGCTTTTAATGCAGGCTGCTACTGTTAGCCAAGATAGCCAACCAGGAAAGTCAATGAGCGACTCAAAAAGGTAGATTTTTATAAAATGAAGAATAATTTTATTCTGAAAAAATGTGATTGACAGATGACCGTTGATATATGATTGGCCGAATTTAGGTGTTCAGGCTGACGTATAACTAACTGGCCTGCAGAAGATAAAGAAAAAAACAAAACAGATTTTAAGACAGGATTAAAAAAAAAAAATAGAAATTTTCTAACTTTTGGAACAATATGTTTTGATAAAGAGTATGTTTATTTACACGTTTAAGCCTGAATGATTTAAAATTTAAATATGACTTCCCTACGACTTTAAGAAGGAACTATAACAGTTACCATAGCGACTATAGCGACTCCCCTTCGCAGAGACATAGGCCAGTATCGGGTATTACAGGCTAACAAAGAACCCAAACAACTCCCCATTAACCTGTTCTTTAGGTTCAATTCGGATGGGAAGCGAAACATCTTCAAACTTGGAAAACAAAGTTTAGTGCAAACAAAGTCAAAGCATAAGTTGACCTTTTAAAAATAACGTAAAAGTAGCTGTTTGTATAAAAAACTGCTTCTTGATTTTAAACCCAGATGGAGGTGCCAGTGTAAATGAACTGAACCGGACTAGCAGCCATCTAAACTTGTACTTAGACCAATTCTTCGATCATGTGCATCGGTTTTTCTTAATTCAGGACGATGTAACATCTTTCTCTGTAGTAAAAAAAATGTGAATATTTTTAAACGTCTTGACCTTTTTTTTTTAAAGGAAAAAGCAAAACAATCAACTGTACAGGGAGAGGTGAATGGCTGCTATGTTCTTATTTGTCTGTGAGAAGCTGAAATGCATGAAGCGGATTCCTGGGTCACACGCCGCGATCCGCGCTGCTCCATGTAAAATCTGTACATAAAACATAGCACTTACTTTTTTTAATGTTTTAAGTTGGATCAATACATGCTTTTTTTTCCAGTGGGATGTATTTATTTGATGTTTTTATTTATTTTCTGAGATGTTTTAGCAGGGTTTTATTTAATCTCTGTCGGCCGGCGACATCATGCTTTTTTAAAAACAGCTATGATCATTAAAGCATGTGCTCCTATTGGCCAGTATGCCGTTGCTGTGTTGGACTGATCTTTCTGAAGACCATCAAACATTCATAATAATTGATGAAACATGGTTGATTATACCTGCATTTTGTTTCCCAAAAAAGCAACTTTTAAAGACTCATATACAGACGTAAGCTTCTATAACATAAGAAAAAGCAAAAAAAAAAGTGTTTAGATTTAAGAAAATTAAATTTTTTCTTTGCAGAGTTCAAATCTGAAATGTTAAATGTAATTTACATAAAAGTTAATTTTAAAGGATGTTTTAATTTTATTATAGAGTATCAAGATCTTATTTTTTTTTTCCAATATGGAGGACCAATGGTATCAAAATTCAGAACATAAATATGTCCTCAAAAATACACTTTCACAAGAAATTTTATATATCTAAATTTATCCGATTATTTTCAATTAATTGATTTAATTTGTTGTTAATTAAATATATTTAACTAACTGTAAAATTAAACATACATATTTGGATAATTAGTTTTATTTCATTGATCTTTTTAAGTAGATCAGTTTGCTTTTCCCTTTAAGCCAAGGAAAGTGGGCGGGGCTAATACTGCTCAATGTAAATTAATTAATTTGTTGTTAACCAATCAGAGATTAGGTTTCAGGTTATAAATCTGTTTTACTGTTGAGATTATTTCACAATAGCACAGAAAAGATATATATATATATATATATATATATATATATATATATATATATATATATATATATATATATATATTAAAAAAAAATCCTAAACATAGAAATAAATCAAATTTTAATGAATAATTTAGACATTTAATACGAAAATTGTCAAATGAAAATTTTGATTTTTTTTCAAAGATATATTCATACATTAATAGATTATTTGATCTAATAAAGAAAATACAGTTTCATTAAAACATATTTAACGAGCTGAATTGTGGCTCTTCTGGTGCTCCGTAATTTGCTATCATTAGTTGCCCGTTTAATTGGACTGAACTTTGTTTTAAGAGTTTTTGCTGAATAAAACTTATTCTTAACTAGACCGATTACAAGACCCCCAGTCTCACTGAAATGTTTAATCTGATAAAAAGCATATATAAAAACAGTATTAAGTAATAGTATAGAAGAAAAGCTGTTCCATGCATACTTTCTAAACTCATTCAGTTTATTCTTAAACTCATCTCCATCTTCTCCTTCAATCACTTAAACCTTTCTGCATAATATTTCTGCAGAGATACCATCTGCATGACTTCAGGCTCACATTAGTTAAACTTTCTGACATGCTAATTAAAAATCGATCCCATAATGAAAGGCAAAGACTGCTGAATGCGTAGAAAGTGTGAGGTTTCCGTAACGTAGCATAAGTTGCAGAGCAGCAGCAGCAGCGACTCATTCAACAGGTCATCTATCAATCTGCTGCAAACATGGGTGAGCAAAGTTAAGTCATTTTCTTTATGATGAAATCAGGCTGTGTGAAGAGTCTTTTTTTTTTTGCGTTGTTTAATTTTATTTGCACATCTTTGTTTCAGTAATTTCAGGCTGCTGTGGAGCGTCTTCTTGTCTTTTCGTCCTCTTCAGGTCCTCACATGATGTCCTGCTGTTGCTGCGTCGACTCACTGACCACCTGAGGACAGAAAGACAAGCTGAGCTAAATATTCCTTTCCTTCACTATCTGTCTCCATCCATCCATCAGCCAGGAGGAGCTGCTCCTTGCAGCCTGTTGGCCAACCTCTGAGGAACTCCTTTATAAAACATGCAGATGGTGCGATCTGAGGGGCCCGGTTGGGGGCCGATGATTTAGACCTCTATTATTACTAATTCTTTTCATCCACCTTCCCTTTCCTTAATGCTGTATTACATGACTTATTTACCTACTCAAATTAAGGGTAAATACACTTATTTTAAGCCATTTTCATTTCTAGATCGTTTGTCCAGTCCCCAGCAGCTAAGCTTCTCTGTTCACACCGGAAAAACGATCTAGATATAAGTAAACATTTCTTAAATTACAGGTGCTGGTCATAAAATTAGAATATCATGAAAAAGTAGATTGATTTCAGTAATTCCATTTAAAAAGTGAAACTTGTATATTATATTCATACATTACATACAAACTCATATATTTCAGATGTTTATTTTGTTTAATTTTGATGATTACAAATGACAACAAATGAAAATCTCAAATTCATCATATCAGAAAATTAGAATATTACTGAAGACCAATAAAAACAATGGATTTATAGAAATGTTGGCCAACTGAAAAGTATGAACATGAAAAGTATGAGCATGTACAGCACTCAGTATTTAGTTGGGCCTCCTTTGGCCTGTATTACTGCAGCAATGCGGCGTGGCATGGAGTCGATCAGTCTGTGGCACTGCTCAGGTGTTATGATAGCCCAGGTTGCTCTAATAGTGGCTTTTAGCTCTTCTGAATTGTTGGGTCTGGTGTATTGCATCTTCTTCTTCACAATACCCCATAGATTTTCTATGGGGTTAAGGTCAGGAGAGTTTGCTGGCCAATTAAGAACAGGGATACCATGGTCCTTCAACCAGGTACTGGTAGCTTTGGCACTGTGTGCAGGTGCCAAGTCCTGTTGGAAAATTAAATCTGCATCTCCAAAAAGTTGGTCAGCTGCAGGAAGCATGAAGTGCTCTAAAACTTCCTGGTATGTGGCTGCGTTGACCCTGGACCTCAGAAAACACAATGGACCAACACCAGCAGATGACATGGCACCCCAAACCATCACTGACTGTGGAAACTTTACACTGGACTTCAAGCAACGTGGATGAAGTGCCTCTCTTCTTTTCCTCCAGACTCTGGGACCTTGATTTCCAAAGGAAATGCAAAATTTACTTTCATCAGAGAACATGACTTTGGACCACTCACCAGCAGTCCAGTCCTGTTTCTCTTTAGCCCAGGCAAGACGCTTCTGACGCTGTCTGTGGTTCAAGAGTGGCTTGACACAAGGAATGCGACAGCAGAAACCCATGTCTTTCATACGTCTGTGTGTGGTGGTTCTTGAAGCACTCACTCCAGCTGCAGTCCACTCTTTGTGAATCTCCCCCACATTTTTGAATGGGTTTTGTTTCACAATCCTCTCCAGGGTGCGGTTATCTCTCTTGCTTGTACACTTTTTTCGACCACATCTTTTCCTTTCCTTCGCCTCTCTATTAATGTGCTTGGACACTGAGCTCTGTGAACAGCCAGCCTCTTTAGCGATGACCTTTTGTGTCTTGCCCTCCTTGTGCAAGGTGTCGATGGTCGTCTTTTGGACAACTGTCAAGTCAGCAGTCTTCCCCATGATTGTGTAGCCTATAGAACTAGACTGAAAGACCATTTAAAGGCTTTTGCAGGTGGTTTGAGTTAATTAGCTGATTAGAGTGTGGCACCAGGGGCCATCAATTTTGAACCTTTTCACAATATTCTAATTTTCTGATATGATGAATTTGAGATTTTCATTTGTTGTCATTTGTAATCATCAAAATTAAACAAAATAAACATCTGAAATATATGAGTTTGTATGTAATGTATGAATATAATATACAAGTTTTACTTTTTAAATGGAATTACTGAAATCAATCTACTTTTTCATGATATTCTAATTTTATGACCATCACCTGTAAGTGTATTTACCCTTAATTTGAGCAGGTAAATGAGATAGTTTGCCAATGGAATGAGTGTTTTTACCCTTAAAATAAAATAATTAGATAAAATGCACTAGAAATAAGACGCCATTGTGTTTTTTTTTTTATTTTAAATGAAAATTGTCTTGTTCCGTTAGTAAAGTGACTCTTTTACCTCCTCAATCCAAGAATAAATGCACTTGTTATAGGAAAAAAATGACTTCTAGATTTCAATTTCTTTTCCTTGTTTTACTCCTTTTCATTCTTATAAAACTTTCCATCATGACCAAGCAAAGTAACAGGAAAGTGTTTCTCCAATTTCTGATGTTTGGACAGTGACAGACAGGAAGTGAGGTCTGCAGAGTTCAAAGAACGCAGTGGAAAAAATCAAATAAGCTTAATTAGGCCCAAGCAGCCTATTGTATCTGTACTGTTTCTTCTTATTATTATTCTTTTCTAACTTTGAACGCATTTTAAGGGGACTTCGCATATTCAAAAACTCAGGAAAATGTGGCAGTAAATTGTTCCCATGCGTGAAATAGCCTGTCTATAATGGAATCCAAAATGGCCGCCCCCGAATTACTCCACAGCGCCCCCTAACGTTAGTTGGGGGAAACTGTAAATCACGGAGATTTGAAAATTGGCACACTGGTAGATCTCCTCAAGTCATGAAAAAAAGTCTCTTGGAGGTATGCCCTAAAACCCACAGGAAGTCGGCCATTTTGGGTCAAAATGCGATTTTTGGCCATTTTTCATTCAAGTAAATAAGCTTAATTCAAGACATTTTTACTTATTTCTAGGTCTTTTTTCCAATGTAATGCTATAATGGAAAAAATCGAAATCGAGATTTTTTTCTTAAAATAACTGCTTTTTTTCTTGAATTGAGGAGATAAGAGACATTTTGCCAATAAGACAAGACAACAATATTTAAAATAAGAAAAAAACAATTGCATTGTCTTGTTTCAAGTGTATATTTAAAATTATCTTATTTTAAGAGTAAAAATACTCATTCCATTGGCAAACTATCCCACTTACCTCTTGAAATTAATGGTAAATACACTTCATTTAAGAAATGTGTACTTATTTCTAGATCGTTTTTCCAGTGTAATGCTGTTTTGCACCTAGTGGATGCTAACAAAGCTACATTCTGGTTCCAGAATCAGGAGACACTGAGAAACACTGCATGAGACATAGTTGTTTAGTTAGAGGCTTTGACTGAGCTGGTTTGGACACAGCACAGAGCAGGGAATACAAAACAGATTTAAAATAGCCTCTGTGGAAAAAAAAAAGAAAGATGTTGCAGCAATATTATGCACAACAAGAATGGACTCAGTAACATTCCTCTGTTTTAATGCAGTGAGAAGCTGCTCACATCAGTGATCCAGCTGCTATGCTGAAGGTATGCTTAATGAGTGATGTAAAAGAAACAGACCAAACCCTGCTGCAGACTTTATGCACAATGCTAAGAAACAAGACCTGTGCTGTAATCCTCAGGAGGATTTCTAGATTACAGAAAAGGATGTCAAAGGGAAGGAAAATATCAATGGTAATAGAAAGATGCATTATTGGAAAATGTCTTCAGATATAATTTATTCTCCCGAGCTTATGATAGAATGATTAGAAAACAAGGAAACTGTGTCAGAAGGAACAGAACATCTAACGTTCCCGCTTGTCCCAACATGTCTGGGGCGTCATTCTCCCCGGAAGCTAAGAGGTGCAACGTGCTTCCCATCAGGTGGGACAGGAATGTCTCTCATGCTTGTTGCTACACGTGCTGGGCCGTTTGTCCCAGAGGGAAATATCGTGTGAGGAGGTGATTTAAAACGCTGACAAAAACAAAAAAACAAGATCTCTGTGTTCCACTGATAACTGAAATATTTCCCTTTGATCAGAATCGGAGGGAAAGAATATAAGTTTAGGCTTGTAGAGCAGAATTAACTGAAAATCAACAGGAAGAAGAGATTTAAGTTGAGATCTGGGCTTTGACTAGACCCAGGGCTTTCTCCTGTCACTTCCCTGCCAGTCAGATGCTACCCTCTGTTACACTGTAAAATTTACACTGCAAAAGTTGAAATCTTCCTTTTTTTTCTTGCAATAAGTGCATTTTCTCTTGAATTGAGGAGGGAAGTGAGACACTTTACCAATGAAACAAGACAATTGACATTTAAAATAAGAAAAAACAATTGCACTGTCTTATTTCAGGTGGATATTATCTAATTATTTTTATTTTAAGAGTAAAAAAACTAATAAGGGTAAGAACTAACCAGGAAATAAATTCTTATTAAAAATAGAACGTTACTCCCAAATGTTTCCTCTAGTTCCTGCTTAACTCAAAAACGATCCAGAAATAAATAAAGATTTCTCTAAATTGAGTGTATTTACCCTTAAATGTTAATACAATGATTTGCCAATGGAATTAGTATTTTCTACTTTAAAGTAAGATAAGATAAAATAAGATGAAATGCACTCTAAATAAGACAATGCGACCAATTTTTTTAATTTATTTTAAATGTCATAAATGACTTATTTAGATTGCTTTTTTTGCAGTGTTTACACTGGAAAAAAATGAAATCTAGATCAGTAATTTTTGCAGGTTATCAAAGTATCTCATTTTCAAAATATAAATCCTCATTTCATAGGCAAATCATCTTATTTATCTAATCAAATTAAGGGTCAATACACTTAATTTAAGACATTTTTACTTATTTCTAGATTGTTTTTCCAGTGTATGCATTCATCCACAGTTACACTAGAAAAGCTATCAAGAAATAAGTAAAAATGTAATTAATTTGAGTGTATTTACACTTTACTACATTTAGGTAATTGAGATAGTTTGCCAATGCCACAGCAACTGATAACAGCTAAAGCTGTTGAAGTTTAATGTAAAACGTCTCCTTATTGCCTTTGATGGGGAAAAATGTCTGTTATTAGAGGAAATGTTTTACCTCTCCATCTCGGGTCTCAATGGTCTTGATCAGGACTGTTTTCTTTGAGTGCATCTCAGAGGAGCGCTGCTGGTGTTCTGGGTTTGTCTCTGATCCAACAAAACAGAACATGTCAGCAAATCATAACCATTTTTTACCTTCTTTAACAAACTGGCTGTATAAAATTGTCTAGTGAATAGAAGGCATCCTCTGGTGGTGCTTTCAGGGTCTCGCAGAAGAGTCCGTACCTCTGAAAGTCAGAGTGGAGTAGCTTTGCATCGGCAGGGCGATCCTGGAAGAAGGAACAGGAGTCAGAACGGCGGCGATCCTTAAAGAGGGAGGAAAAGTCTGCATTGCTAGAACATTACCTGCTCTCCTCCCCTTCCAGCAGCTTCCTGTAGGTGGCGATCTCCACATCCAGGGCCATCTTTACGTTGAGAAGGTCCTGGTACTCCCGGAGGTGGCGTGCCATCTCGTCCTTCATGTTGGCAATCTCAGCCTCCAGCCTCGCTATGGTGTCCTGGAAGTTTCCGGCTTCGCGTCCATGGCGGTCCTCCATGTCTCTCATCTGCCTCATCAGGGACTCATTCTGGATTTTGAAGAGACAGCAGCCATATTGGGGTCACAGCCTGATTCCTCTAACTTTTGAGGTACTGTATTAACCTAGAGGTCACTGCCTTTGAACTTGTACGTTTATTTTCTTGATCTTATAGAAAAATACGGCAAGATTTTGTGAAATACTGAAGCCATTAAGCCCGGCTGGCCCAGTACTGATGCCTGTTCCATGTTTATTTATAGAATTTGCCAAAACACAGTCACATGGTGTTTCATCCTTACTCCTTTCAAATGGGGCTTTAAAATCTTTAAAACTTGTTTCAAAATAATTTTTTTCACAAGTAGTTTTATAGCTGTGTAAACAAATCAAATGAGGTTTAAAATTCCACCTGACATGTGTGACTCTGCAGGAGTAATGCAGCAGCAGGTATTCATCTTTAGCCCCGCCCCCTAATGGCCACCATCATTGGAAACTAGAGGCTCAGACCTTTCCAAGAAGGGGTCAGAGGTCATTGTGTGACCATTTCAGGCGATGGAACCGGCATGCTTTACATAAGCTTGATCTGTTATTCTTATTTTCTATTAAGATTAGTGATATTATTGGTAAATTTCAATGAACTAATGGCTAAATCTTAGGAGCAAAGGCTTTGTCTTATGCAGAAGGTCTCTAATAATGTAAATCAGTATATTTTTCTGAGCAGATTCCATTTTATAAGTTGAAAAATGCACTTTTGGCATTATGCAAAAATCACATTTCCAGCTAGCATCCTTGCCCTCTAAAACTTTTGTGGAACCAACATGATTCAACGTATTCAGTCCAAATTTGCTTTACATATAGTTAAGATGTGGATCTATAAAGTCTGAGTTCATCCAGAGTTTCAAATAGGGGTTCATGGTGTTTTGCAGTGTTTATTATGCGAAAAAAGTCGGCAAGGCTAAATTTGGGGGCTTTAGGGGTTAATAGAACTTGAACGTACCATCCAGGATTACACGCTACTTGGCAGCATTCTGTGGGAGAACGCCTTCATTTCCAAGGAGGTGATTGAGGGGTATTTAATGCCTTCCTGGGAGGGTAAACTGTCATAGTCCTGGCGCTGATGGTTGGGTTTTTTTAATCTGTTTTAGACTATACTCGGGCTTTGGGTTGTCTCTCACAGACACTGTTGACTGAGGCAAGATCCCCTGCACCCTCTGCAATAAACTTGTTTCAAAACATCATGTTTGTCTGCTGAATATTGACTCCAAGGTTCTGCGGTCGTTGCATAAAATTTGAGGAAGGTAACCAGCATGTTGCAGGAAGATAACCAGCATGTTGCAGGAAGATAACCAGCATGTTGCAGGAAGGTAACCAGCATGTTGCAGGAAGATAACCAGCATGTTGCAGGAAGGTAACCAGCATGTTGCAGGAAGATAACCAGCATGTTGCAGGAAGGTAACCAGCATGTTACAGGAAGGTAACCAGCATGTTACAGGAAGGTAACCAGTATGTCGCAGGAAGATAACCAGCATGTTGCAGGAAGGTAACCAGCATGTTACAGGAAGGTAACCAGCATGTTGCAGGAAGGTAACCAGCATGTTGCAGGAAGGTAACCAGTATGTTGCAGGAAGTTAACCAGCATGTTGCAGGAAGGTAACCAGCATGTTGCAGGAAGGTAACCAGTATGTTGCAGGAAGTTAACCAGCATGTTGCAGGAAGGTAACCAGCGTGTTGCAGGAAGGTAACCAGCATGTTGCAGGAAGATAACCAGCATGTTGCAGGAAGGTAACCAGCATGTTGCAGGAAGGTAACCAGCATGTTACAGGAAGGTAACCAGCATGTTGCAGGAAGGTAACCAGCATGTTGCAGGAAGGTAACCAGCATGTTACAGGAATGTAACCAGCATGTTGCAGGAAGGTAACCAGCATGTTACAGGAAGGTAACCAGCATGTTACAGGAAGGTAACCAGCATGTTGCAGGAAGGTAACCAGTATGTTGCAGGAAGGTAACCAGCATGTTGCAGGAAGGTAACCAGCATGTTGCAGGAAGGTAACCAGCATGTTGCAGGAAGGTAACCAGTATGTTGCAGAAAGGTAACCAGCATGTTACAGGAAGGTAACCAGTATTTTACAGGAAGGTAACCAGCATGTTGCAGGAAGGTAACCATCATGTTACAGGAAGGTAACCAGCATGTTGCAGGAAGGTAACCAGCATGTGACAGGAAGGTAACCAGCATGTTACAGCAAGGTAACCAGCATGTTACATGAAGGTAACCAGCATGTTACAGGAAGGTAACCAGCATGTTACAGCAAGGTAACCAGCATGTTACATGAAGTTAACCAGCATGTTACAGGAAGGTAACCAGTATGTCGCAGGAAGATAACCAGCATGTTGCAGGAAGGTAACCGGCATGTTACAGGAAGGTAACCAGCATGTTGCAGGAAGGTAACCAGCATGTTACAGGAAGGTAACCAGCATGTTGCAGGAAGGTAACCAGTATGTTGCAGGAAGGTAACCAGTATGTTGCAGGAAGGTAACCAGCATGTTGCAGGAAGGTAACCAGTATGTTACAGGAAGGTAACCAGCATGTTACAGGAATGTAACCAGCATGTTACAGGAAGGTAACCAGCATGTTGCAGGAAGGTAACCAGCATGTTGCAGGAAGGTAACCAGCGTGTTGCAGGAAGGTAACCAGTATGTTACAGGAAGGTAACCAGCATGTAACAGGAAGTTAACCAGCATGTTGCAGGAAGGTAACCAGCGTGTTGCAGGAAGGTAACCAGCATGTTGCAGGAAGATAACCAGCATGTTGTAAGAAGGTAACCAGCATGTTGCAGGAAGATAACCAGCATGTTGCAGGAAGGTAACCAGCATGTTGCAGGAAGATAACCAGCATGTTGCAGGAAGGTAACCAGCATGTTACAGGAAGGTAACCAGTATGTCGCAGGAAGATAACCAGCATGTTGCAGGAAGGTAACCAGCATGTTACAGGAAGGTAACCAGCATGTTGCAGGAAGGTAACCAGCATGTTGCAGGAAGGTAACCAGCATGTTACAGCAAGGTAACCAGTATGTCGCAGGAAGATAACCAGCATGTTGCAGGAAGGTAACCAGCATGTTGCAGGAAGGTAACCAGTATGTCGCAGGAAGATAACCAGCATGTTGCAGGAAGGTAACCAGCATGTTACAGGAAGGTAACCAGCATGTTGCAGGAAGGTAACCAGCATGTTGCAGGAAGGTAACCAGCATGTTGCAGGAAGGTAACCAGTATGTTGCAGGAAGTTAACCAGCATGTTGCAGGAAGGTAACCAGCATGTTGCAGGAAGGTAGCCAGTATGTTGCAGGAAGTTAACCAGCATGTTGCAGGAAGGTAACCAGCATGTTGCAGGAAGGTAACCAGCATGTTACAGGAAGGTAACCAGCATGTTACAGGAAGGTAACCAGCATGTTGCAGGAAGATAACCAGCATGTTGCAGGAAGGTAACCAGCATGTTGCAGGAAGGTAACCAGCATGTTACAGGAAGGTAACCAGCATGTTGCAGGAAGGTAACCAGCATGTTGCAGGAAGGTAACCAGCATGTTGCAGGAAGATAACCAGCATGTTGCAGGAAGGTAACCAGCATGTTGCAGGAAGGTAACCAGCATGTTACAGGAAGGTAACCAGCATGTTGCAGGAAGGTAACCAGCATGTTACAGGAAGGTAACCAGCATGTTGCAGGAAGATAACCAGCATGTTGCAGGAAGGTAACCAGCATGTTGCAGGAAGGTAACCAGCATGTTACAGGAAGGTAACCAGCATGTTGCAGGAAGGTAACCAGCATGTTGCAGGAAGGTAACCAGCATGTTACAGGAATGTAACCAGCATGTTGCAGGAAGGTAACCAGCATGTTACAGGAAGGTAACCAGCATGTTACAGGAAGGTAACCAGCATGTTGCAGGAAGATAACCAGCATGTTGCAGGAAGGTAACCAGCATGTTGCAGGAAGGTAACCAGCATGTTGCAGGAAGGTAACCAGCATGTTGCAGGAAGGTAACCAGTATGTTGCAGGAAGTTAACCAGCATGTTACAGGAAGGTAACCAGCATGTTACAGCAAGGTAACCAGCATGTTACATGAAGTTAACCAGCATGTTACAGGAAGGTAACCAGTATGTCGCACGAAGATAACCAGCATGTTGCAGGAAGGTAACCGGCATGTTACAGGAAGGTAACCAGCATGTTGCAGGAAGGTAACCAGCATGTTACAGGAAGGTAACCAGCATGTTGCAGGAAGATAACCAGCATGTTGCAGGAAGGTAACCAGCATGTTGCAGGAAGATAACCAGCATGTTGCAGGAAGGTAACCAGCATGTTGCAGGAAGATAACCAGCATGTTGCAGGAAGGTAACCAGCATGTTACAGGAAGGTAACCAGCATGTTACAGGAAGGTAACCAGTATGTCGCAGGAAGATAACCAGCATGTTGCAGGAAGGTAACCAGCATGTTACAGGAAGGTAACCAGCATGTTGCAGGAAGGTAACCAGCATGTTGCAGGAAGGTAACCAGTATGTTGCAGGAAGATAACCAGCATGTTGCAGGAAGGTAACCAGCATGTTGCAGGAAGGTAACCAGCATGTTACAGGAAGGTAACCAGCATGTTGCAGGAAGGTAACCAGCATGTTGCAGGAAGGTAACCAGCATGTTGCAGGAAGATAACCAGCATGTTGCAGGAAGGTAACCAGCATGTTGCAGGAAGGTAACCAGCATGTTACAGGAAGGTAACCAGCATGTTGCAGGAAGGTAACCAGCATGTTACAGGAAGGTAACCAGCATGTTGCAGGAAGATAACCAGCATGTTGCAGGAAGGTAACCAGCATGTTGCAGGAAGGTAACCAGCATGTTACAGGAAGGTAACCAGCATGTTGCAGGAAGGTAACCAGCATGTTGCAGGAAGGTAACCAGCATGTTACAGGAATGTAACCAGCATGTTGCAGGAAGGTAACCAGCATGTTACAGGAAGGTAACCAGCATGTTACAGGAAGGCAGTGTTGGGCACGTTACTTTGAAAAAGTAATTAGTTATAGTTACTAGTTACTTCTCCCAAAAAGTAACTGAGTTACTAACTGAGTTACTCCACAATAAAAGTAACTAGTTACTAGTAAAAGTAACTATTGCGTTACTTTTGAGTTTCTCGCCCCCGTAAACCTCACCACCCAGCCCCCACCTTCTCGCCATGTGTTTCCAAAGCCAGCTGAATAGAGCGGACGACAAAGACAAGAACCTGCAGAGAGTTTAGCATTTATTGCAACTCAACGTAAATGACATCAGGGGGGAACGCCATGTGAAGTTTTATAACAGGACATTCAGATCCGGTGAGTATATGAAATTAATAACTGGGGATGTCTAATTCTGAAATCCTGTGTGTTTGGGTTTTTATAGATACTGCAACATCTATCTATCTATCTATCTATCTATCTATCTATCTATCTATCTATCTATCTATCTATCTATCTATCTATCTATCTATCTAGATGTATACTCTGTGTGTGACATAAAATATGGATCTCCATCCCTGCCACAAAGGCCATCAAATATTGTTTAAAATAAAAAAAACAGTAAGTTGAGAAGGCAGAGTATCCATCCATCCATCCATCCATCCATCCATCCATCCATCCATCCATCCATCCATCCATCCATCCATCCATCCATCCATCCATTCATCCATCCATCCAACCATCCATCCAGATTTCTCCCTTTCTCCATATAGGCTATCATTTCTGGCTGTTGTCAGGTTCATTTGATCGTTCACGCTCTCCATAGTTCTCCTGTGGCGCGAGCACAGGGCGACTGTTGCGCGCATTTAGCGAGCATGCGCGTTTCCTGTCGCTTGCGCGGTGACTCTTGCCGCCTGCGCTGTGTGGAGATGCAGAGGAAACCGGTATGTGATGGGGAAACGCAGCTCTACGTAACACCGGTATTTCCATGTGGAAAACGCTGTTTTGCTGCTGGAGTCATCCTCACTCTCCATCTCTCTGTGTGTGCTGTACGTTAACACCCGCCAGCAGAAACACCCACCTATTCAACTGACAGACGGAATCTCACTATTCATCAGCCATTCTCATCCTCCCCTCTCAGGACAAGGCGCGCACCTCTGGATGACCTAAAATAAATCTTTAATATCTCTTAAACAAAAGTAGCACAAACAATATTTTTTTCTGCACAAATCTGCACTAACGTTGCACTAACCATTCAGTCTATTTGCAGAGTTTTTTGACGTGGGTGGGGTGTCAGCTTCACGCAGCTGCGCACGAGTCCTATCATGAAAAAAGGTTCATTGTGCGACCTGAGTAACGCGCAGTAACGGGGTGCCTGCAATGGTAACTGCGTTATAGTTACAGTCAAAGTAATTAGTTAGATTACTCGTTACTAAAACAAGGTAACGGCGTTAGTAACGCCGTTACTTTCAACGCCGTTAGTCCCATCACTGCAGGAAGGTAACCAGCATGTTGCAGGAAGATAACCAGCATGTTGCAGGAAGGTAACCAGCATGTTGCAGGAAGGTAACCAGCATGTTGCAGGAAGGTAACCAGCATGTTGCAGGAAGGTAACCAGTATGTTGCAGGAAGTTAACCAGCATGTTACAGGAAGGTAACCAGCATGTTACAGCAAGGTAACCAGCATGTTACATGAAGTTAACCAGCATGTTACAGGAAGGTAACCAGTATGTCGCACGAAGATAACCAGCATGTTGCAGGAAGGTAACCGGCATGTTACAGGAAGGTAACCAGCATGTTGCAGGAAGGTAACCAGCATGTTACAGGAAGGTAACCAGCATGTTGCAGGAAGATAACCAGCATGTTGCAGGAAGGTAACCAGCATGTTGCAGGAAGATAACCAGCATGTTGCAGGAAGGTAACCAGCATGTTGCAGGAAGATAACCAGCATGTTGCAGGAAGGTAACCAGCATGTTACAGGAAGGTAACCAGCATGTTACAGGAAGGTAACCAGTATGTCGCAGGAAGATAACCAGCATGTTGCAGGAAGGTAACCAGCATGTTACAGGAAGGTAACCAGCATGTTGCAGGAAGGTAACCAGCATGTTGCAGGAAGGTAACCAGTATGTTGCAGGAAGTTAACCAGCATGTTGCAGGAAGGTAACCAGCATGTTGCAGGAAGGTAACCAGTATGTTGCAGGAAGTTAACCAGAATGTTGCAGGAAGGTAACCAGCATGTTGCAGGAAGGTAACCAGCATGTTGCAGGAAGGTAACCAGCATGTTACAGGAAGGTAACCAGCATGTTACAGGAAGGTAACCAGCATGTTGCAGGAAGATAACCAGCATGTTGCAGGAAGGTAACCAGCATGTTGCAGGAAGGTAACCAGCATGTTACAGGAAGGTAACCAGCATGTTGCAGGAAGGTAACCAGCATGTTGCAGGAAGATAACCAGCATGTTGCAGGAAGGTAACCAGCATGTTGCAGGAAGGTAACCAGCATGTTACAGGAAGGTAACCAGCATGTTGCAGGAAGGTAACCAGCATGTTACAGGAAGGTAACCAGCATGTTGCAGGAAGATAACCAGCATGTTGCAGGAAGGTAACCAGCATGTTGCAGGAAGGTAACCAGCATGTTACAGGAAGGTAACCAGCATGTTACAGGAAGGTAACCAGCATGTTGCAGGAAGGTAACCAGTATGTTGCAGGAAGGTAACCAGCATGTTGCAGGAAGGTAACCAGCATGTTGCAGGAAGGTAACCAGTATGTTTCTGAAAGGTAACCAGCATGTTACAGGAAGGTAACCAGTATTTTACAGGAAGGTAACCAGCATGTTGCAGGAAGGTAACCAGCATGTTACAGGAAGGTAACCAGCATGTTGCAGGAAGGTAACCAGCATGTGACAGGAAGGTAACCAGCATGTTACAGAAAGGTAACCAGCATGTTACATGAAGGTAACCAGCATGTTACAGGAAGGTAACCAGCATGTTACAGCAAGGTAACCAGCATGTTACATGAAGTTAACCAGCATGTTACAGGAAGGTAACCAGTATGTCGCAGGAAGATAACCAGCATGTTGCAGGAAGGTAACCGGCATGTTACAGGAAGGTAACCAGCATGTTGCAGGAAGGTAACCAGCATGTTACAGGAAGGTAACCAGCATGTTGCAGGAAGGTAACCAGTATGTTGCAGGAAGGTAACCAGTATGTTGCAGGAAGGTAACCAGCATGTTGCAGGAAGATAACCAGCATGTTGCAGGAAGGTAACCAGCATGTTGCAGGAAGGTAACCAGCATGTTGCAGGAAGGTAACCAGTATGTTACAGGAAGGTAACCAGCATGTTACAGGAATGTAACCAGCATGTTACAGGAAGGTAACCAGCATGTTGCAGGAAGGTAACCAGCATGTTGCAGGAAGGTAACCAGTATGTTACAGGAAGGTAACCAGCATGTAACAGGAAGTTAACCAGCATGTTGCAGGAAGGTAACCAGCGTGTTGCAGGAAGGTAACCAGCATGTTGCAGGAAGGTAACCAGCGTGTTGCAGGAAGGTAACCAGCATGTTGCAGGAAGGTAACCAGCGTGTTGCAGGAAGTTAACCAGCATGTTGCAGGAAGGTAACCAGCATGTTGCAGGAAGGTAACCAGTATGTTACAGGAAGGTAACCAGCATGTAATAGGAAGTTAACCAGCATGTTGCAGGAAGGTAACCAGTATGTTACAGGACGTTAACCAGCATGTTGCAGGAAGGTAACCAGCGTGTTGCAGGAAGTTAACCAGCGTGTTGCAGGAAGGTAACCAGCGTGTTGCAGGAAGGTAACCAGCGTGTTGCAGGAAGGTAACCAGCGTGTTGCAGGAAGTTAACCAGCATGTTGCAGGAAGGTAACCAGTATGTTACAGGAAGATAACCAGCATGTTGCAGGAAGGTAACCAGCATGTTACAGGAAGGTAACCAGCATGTTGCTGGAAGGTAACCAGCGTGTTGCAGGAAGGTAACCAGCGTGTTGCAGGAAGTTAACCAGCATGTTGCAGGAAGGTAACCAGCATGTTGCAGGAAGGTAACCAGCATGTTGCAGGACAGACCTGCAAGTTATAGGGAAGTTTGTTGTAGATTCTAATAAAATACCCTGTACCTCCAGCGAGAACTGGTAACCAGCAGCAATGTCCTGCAAGTTCTTAAAAAATAACATAACTTCAAGTTACCTGCAGATTGTAGAAATAGTTATCTACCTGAGCCGTGGTTCTGATGGTTCTAGCAAAATAACCTTTAAATTGTGGTAAAGTAGCCTGGTGGTTTTTGGGAGTGACCATATGTTCTAGGAAAGCATCCTGTAAGTTGTGGGAAAGTATCTGATCAACTGCTGGAAGGTAGCCTGCATTGTCCATGAAGAGTAACCTATAAGATGATATTCTGATCTCGGAGTGTTTCCGCTAAGTTGAGGACAGTAACCTGTCACCTCCATGCAGGTAACAGCTGAGTATTCGGTTCTGTGTCCCACCTACCGTGCCTTTAAGTGAGTCAATCTCGCAGGTGTAGGCCTGGATCTGGTGTCTGAACTCCATGGTCTCCTGGCGGGCCTGTTTGAGGGCTTCGTTGTTCTTATTCACAGCCTGGTTCAGGTCCGAAACCTTCAGGGAAAAATGTCCTGCATCATCTTAATGTTTACCAGGATATTTTCTTCAAATATTACAGTCTGATGGTGAAGCTGTGTGTGAACATTAATATTGTGTCATTTTATTCCCTTGGTCAGTGAGCTGGAGTTCAGGTTTTGTGTTTACTGACCTCTAGTGGTAGTACTTTATAACTGATAGCAACCATGCAGAATATTTAAAAAATTTAATGGGTTTTCCAGATGTCAACATTTTCTGATGTAATTTTTAATGTAAAAGGCCGAATGAGAAAAAAGATGTCTCTGTCCAACCTTGGATTTGTACCACTCTTCAGCCTCTGCGATGTTCTTGGCAGCAATGCCCTCATACTGCGCCCTGATGTCTCTCAGTGCTGCTGTGAGGTCCGGCTTGGACATGTCCATCTGGATCTGGACCTGAGTCTCCTGCATCTGATTCTGCAGCTCACGGATCTCCTGTGGAGGAACAAAAAGGGACGATTACAGCTCTGTTGTTTGAGTCATGGAGGTTTGACTTTGAGTTAGTTTGTATCTTAGTTTAATTCAGATGTCACATCTTAGAAATGTTTTTTTTTTCCAGTGCAGCTCTGTAATGTGAAGAAAGGTACTGAGAAATGAGAAGCAGAAGCAGAATACCTCTTCGTGGATCCTCTTCAGGAAGGCAATCTCCTCCTGCAGCGTCTCAATGCGTCTCTCCAGGTCCAGTCGGGCCAAAGTGGCAGCATCCACATCCTGCAGCAGTCAGAAACAGAAAGCAGCTGAGACTAACTCTTCCTCTGAGCCTGTTAGAAAAAACTAAAATGACTTGATATGCTTCATATTGTCTAAAAGCTAAAGAATGGATCTGATTTTATGCTGAGAGTTTAGATTTTAACAGCTTTGAAACTGTTTGAGAAACATTTTTTTAGACAGTGCATGAAGAAATGCTCCTGGTTACACAACATAAACCACATAAAGTTAATGAAATTGCATAAGAAGGGACAGAAAACAATTTAAAAATTAAATAACATTAATTTCACTGAGAAGCTATTCAGAATTCATACAAGTCAATAAATAGAAGTTCCTTGTTTTACATACATTCAATTTTTTTTTACTCTAAAATATTGAAAGCAAAATAAACCATTTTCTTGAACTTTCACACAGATTTAAATGAAACGTTCTGCTGATGAGCCCACATTAAGGAATCAAACCAACAAATCGTCCTCACTTGAAAACCCTTCTAGCATTAAGAGCAGAGACAAACTAAAAAAATATGAATGCTAAGCTTTAAGCATACAGTCCTGCAGGTTTATTTTCTAAATATGTTAATTTCACAGAAAAAGTCAGTTTAAAAGCAACGGCATAGAGCTCACCGCTCTGAAAGCAGCCAGGTTGTTCTCAGCTTCTTCTTTCTGCAAAATCTCCTCCTGCAACCTGCAAAACAAGACAGACTTTTACACAAAGGCAGCACTAAGTTTGAAAAATATAAGACTTTGTTAAACAAACATTCAGCTCAAACTGTAATAATCGCACTTAAATTAAACTAAAAGTATTAGCATATAATTATATTTTAAAACAGTTTTCCATACTGTGTATGATCTACTAACAAGTTAAAGTCTAAGCTAATCATCGAAAAATGGAAGAAAGAATTAAGAGAAATTACAAAAGGTGAGAAATGTGCAATTGTTTTATTCATTAATACTCACAAGGCTTTTTAAAAAACAGCTCGGCTTTAGGAATAAATGGCAAAAAGGAAACAAATCCCTCCTAAAAATCCCAAATTTTCTTTACTATAAGCTATTTATCTTCTTCTAAACATGTATTTTATTATGACTACAGAAGCACATTCAACATGTTATGAATCATTTTAAAACTGGCAGCAATAATGTAAACTTGAGACAGAGAAAGAAAATGGACAGAGGTGGGAGCCATATTCCTCTCCTTTTATAGAAGAGTGCAGCATAAACATGCGATGAAGACTAACCTTAGTCTGACCTAAGCACTAACACGCTCTCCTCGCTAATCTTTATAGTCCTTGAGAACATCACTGATCAACAGCATCAAGAACATCAGAAAGCAGAGCTGCTCTGATCTGAAGATAAAGACTCAAATTATACTTTTAAATACAAGCATATTATTTTAAAAATAATACAAGCACATTATTTTTTTCAGTTATTATTTGACATTACTATTGCTTAATTGGTTTTTGGCATATTCTATAGATACTTTGAAATGTACTTTATATGAATGCCTATTGCTGCCAACTGTTGCCGCTATTCCCGTTTATCACTGGTTTAAACCGTAGAGGTCTGAGATAAATACCCCAAACAGTGACAACTATACAACATAGAAAAAGAAATAAATGAATTAAAAAAAATCCTGAATAAATCTTATATTTCTATTGATGTGGGCGCATCCAATGATTACATTTCAGTATGAGTTTTGTTATGTTCTGACTCAATACTGATATCAGAAATTACTCCAATATCAGCCAAAGAGGCCAAAGTACTTGAATATAACGCCCTGGATCTGAAATCTCTGACACAGACTGATAGAAACATTCTGCTCCATCAATTAGTCCGTTCCAACATTTCTATCCAACAGTACTTGTATTCTGCAAGAATTCAATTCTATTCAGTTTATTTCTATAGCACCAATTCACAACACAAGTCAGACTGATTTAAAGTTTTCTATCTAAGGAAAACCAGCTGATTGCATCGACTCATTGACTCTTCAGCAATCCCTCACACTAAGCATGCTTGTAGCGACAGTGGAGAGGAAAAACTCCCTTTGAACAGGAAGAAACCTCCAGCAGAACCAGGCTCAGTGTGAGCGGCCATCTGCTGAGGCCCACTGGGGTTCAAGGAGACAGAAGCAGACATAGAAAAAGAAGCATAGATACAAAAGGCAACTGTCAACCAGCTCCACAGGCGGCCCCGTCCAGGAAACACACAGCCAGGCAGACTAGCTCAGAGCCAGCTCCCATGTCAGAGGATGAAGAGAGCACATCCAGTTAGTCACAGTCAGAGAAACAGGACTACACTGGAAAACAGGTCAAGCTCCAACATCTAGAAACAAAGGTGTTGATGGCAGCAGCACAGCTGATATTTCTCTCCAGGATGGAGTCACAGCCAAACAGGAACAGACCAGATGAAGCTACTATGAGAAAAAGCAGAGAGAGTAGAACGTTAGAGATTGAACTAACAGATTCTGCAGAGTGGGAGAATAGAGATAGAATGAAGCAGAATGATGAAGAAGGGGTCCCTATGTCCTCCAGCAGTCTAAGCCTATAGCAGCAGAACTATAGAGATAGCTCAGGATAACCTGAGCCACTCTAACTAGAAGCTTTATCAAAAAGGAAAGTTTTAAGCCTAGCCTTAAAAGTAGACAGGGTGTCTGCCTCATGGACTAAAACTGGTAGTTGGTTCCACAGGAGAGGAGCCTGAGAACTAAAAGATCTGTCAACATGATCAGTCTGTCCAATAAAGTCTAAACATTAGAGCTAAGGATGAAACATATCATACAGGAGCTTCCTGTCTTCTAGTTTTATATATATATTTTAGTGTTTTCAGGTTTATGCAGTAATCACATTAATTAATAAAACTCGACCCGGTCAATAGGTGGCGGCAATGTGCCTAAAGCTGTTTGCTCAGTTGACTACCTACAACTGAAGAAGAAGAAATAAATGGCAATTTTACTTAAAGGTGTAGGGGAGGATTTTTCTAGAATTTTTGAAAAGACCTTCTGTCTCCCCTTAAAAATAAATGCACATGCACAACTATGTGCCTGCTCCTGAGAGGGAATGTCTATTAAACGTGACCGAGAGCCTATTTCTCCCTGTGCAAGCTCGGTTTAAAAGTTGCTGTTTGCATCGCCCATATAAGCTTACTTTTCAAAAGATTTGTAATTTTTAGTCCTTTAATCCTGGAGATGTTCTTCAGGTGATAAAAGGCTGATTTAGCAACTGCCTTTATGTCCCATTGCAAAAGGTCAGATTAAAAGTGAAATTACACAATTTTTCATTAGTTTTTTATAAACATGGAGCAGCATTTATTCACCTTTTATAAAAACAAACAGTGGATCCCAGGCAAAGTTTCTTTGCAGACAAGACTGTGAATCAGAGAGTAAAAATATCTCCAGTTACTACAACAAACAGCTGATAACTGCCCCTGCCCCCCCACCACCCCCCGTACCATTAGGGGCTAAATCAAGCAGCCTTTGTTTCATTACATCGGATTTCAAGGTTTTAATCAGCAGTTAGAGTGCTTTGCTTTTTAGCCCTTAAAGTAAGCATTTCCCCTTTTTTCAATCAGCATATTTAGAAAGTCTTTGCTGCAGTGGTTTCACCTTCTACCCGCCTCTCTGCTTCAGGGTTCGCTCTATTGCACACAGATCTATGCTGCAGAAATGGAGCTTATTCCCTGACAGAATACAGCATACTTTATGCACATATTCTTTTTTTTTTTCTTAATGAATTGTTCTTATGTGGTGATTAGTAAAATCTGATTCTGCAAGAAAAGATAAAGTTGAAAACTGCATGAGATAAATTTATAATAGATGTAAAAACATATCTTTAGTTTATTTCATTATGTGTAATGTTCCTCTAAAATAACTTTCCTTACAGAAAATCCCTATTTAATCCCTTATTTAATTTTCCTTATGGATCAATAAAATTATTTCGAATTGAATTACATTTTTCTGTTCTTATTCTTTTGCAAAATGAACCTTGACTGTATTTAATTGAGTTTCATAGGAAATAACGACATGAAATAGTTCATAATTGTAAAGTTGAAGGGAAAGAAAGTATTGCAAATTTATTTTCAGGACAAATAAGTTAGAGTGTTGGACATTTGTGTTCATCTCCCTTAATTCTCTTCAAACACTGAGCAGCTGACTGCAATAAGAGATCTTCTGGTAATTCATCATCTCACAGCCCAGCTGTTTGCAGCTTTACCTCTCTAACTGCAGCGCAGTAAAAGGAACTAAAGAACAACGTAGATAAAGTGCAATATATATTATTACTCCTTTAAGAACACATCAGAGATCAGAGAAGAAGTTAATGTATTAGAAAGTGAAAAAAAGAGAAAAAAAAAGCTTTTTTTCTAAAACAGTCTTGAATCCAGTTTTCTGTTTGCGGTAAATGTTTTAGGTGGTCTGGTCAGGTGGGCCAAAAGCAGAAGTTTTTTTTTGGATACACGGAAAATGTAGAAGGAAAAACTAACCCTTCTACATCAGCCTGAACACAACTTCCAACATAGTGAAGGCGGCATCATGCTGAGGGTTTCATCAGAACTGATAAGAAAACAGGTGGAGCTAAATGCAGGAAAACCACCAGAACATAAAGCAGGAGAATCACTTAGAAGGCTTGGATCAAGGAGAATGGCCTAATCAAAGTTTTAACCTCAACCCAACTGAAGTAGGAATACCATTTAATTTCAACATTAACACATGAACTCTTATAACTGTGGTATTTATACTGCTGTACAAGTTTTTCAATCAACTAGGGATTATCTGGTGTGTTTGTTAGTTTAAACAGCTGTTTATGTTCTATATATCCATTCCATCAATAGTTGTAAGTTAGACTATTAAACCGATAATGAGAAATAAAAAAAATCGGATTGTGTTAAGAGATGCACAGATTCGTTTTTTTCCCGATTTAATCCGATACTGATACCTGGGCCGATATCTGATAGCAATCGGATTCAGCTGTTGAATGAACGAACCAAATATCTCGCCATGTTCGTGAAGGCTTTAGACTCGTCTTAAACATTGTTTAAATGTGTTCGATATAAAGTGCACTGGATTGAATCTCTGATATTAAACCGTCGATATCCGATCCAGCTACTCAGTCAATATCAGAGCCGATATCCGATCTAAGTATCGGATTGGTCCATTTATAAGTGAGATCTGAGCTTTGAGCTAAAGGACCAATATTTGGGCTGTTGGTCTAAAGGCAGAAATCAAACCTCATGATGGAAAATAACCTACTTTATCCCAAAAAAAGATAAACCGAGAGTTAAGATCAGCATGAACCTAGTCAGACTTCATCCGCTCTCTTCTTAAAGAGTTTCACCCCCTCCTCGCCCCTCCTACCTGATTTTAACTCTTTCCAGGTCGTCCACCAGGTTGTCTCGCTCCACCTCCAGGCGTGACCTCTGATTGGTCAGAATCTCCACCTGCCTCCTCAGCTCGCTCATCTCCTCCTCGTACAGGTCGGCGATGCGCGTGGGCTCCCGCCCCCGCAGGCGCTCCACCTCCACCGTCAGCGCCTGGTTCTGCTGCTCCAGAAAGCGGACCTTCTCGATGTAGCTGGCAAAGCGGTCGTTCAGGTGCTGCAGCTCGGCCTTCTCGTTGGTGCGCGTGGTCAGGAACTCCTGGTTGAGGGCATCTGCCAGGTTGAAGTCCAACGTCTCCCCCATGCCGGCGTGGGAGCGTCCAACAGAGACCCTGGAGGCCCCCAGGGGCCTGCCATGGTAGCTGGAGGACACGCGGTAGTTTGGTGCGGCGCTGGTTCGGGTCACCTCGTAGACCCTGGAGGTTACGTGACCCCCGCTGCCTCCGCTGGGGCCCAGGAAGGAGCGGTTGAGGGAGGGGGAGGCGTAGGTGCCATGACCGAAGGTGCGGCGGTAGGAGGAAGCGGACTGGGCAGAGGAGGAGTAGGCCGTCATGTTGGAGGAGACAGAGATCCTGAAGGGGCTGCAGCAGAGCAGAGCAATGAGGAGTACAGAACTGGCCCTGGGTATTTGTAGCCACCCCCTCCCTAATGCCTCCCCCCTCCTCTCCTTGAACAGCCCTCCCTCCCCCTATCCTCCCTGGTTCTCCTCCAGCCTGTGCTCTCCTCCTGTGGAAGTAAAGCATCAGCTGGAGTTTATGTTTCTGTTTATGGTTCTTCTTCTTTGGTGTCATAGTCTTCATTCTTTTCTCCTCATCCTTTGGATTATTTCAGCAGAGTGTTATTCATCTGATGCCTGATGCTTTGAGAAACGCCTCCCTGCCATCATTTTGGGAAGCTTTGAAGTTCTGGAGGGCTTCCCATCCCACTAATCAGCACCTTAACATTACCACTTCTTCCAGACCAACATTCAGTTCATTGTCCTAAACAAACCATTCCACATCCTGTGCATTGGTTCCTAATTTACTTAGAAACTTTGGGGCGGCAGTGGCTTTAAAAGTAGGAGTTTGGAATCATTGCTGTTTTAAGCCCCTGCTCTGGCTTTCAGTGTCGTTGTGTCCTTGGGCAAGACACTTCACCCGCATTGCCCCCTGATGTTGGTCAGAGGGCCCAGTAGCTCCAGTGTACGGCAGCCCCACTTCTGTCAGTGAACCTCAGAGCAGCTGTGGCTACAATGTAGTTTGCCATCATTGGTGTGTGCATGAATGACTGAAAGTAGTGTAAAGCGCTTTGATCAAGTCTCCTGACTTCGAAAAGCACTACATCTAAAAGTAGAATGGGAGGCAGATCTTTTAGTTCTCAGGCTCCTCTCCTGTGGAACCAACTACCAGTTTTAGTCCGTGAGGCAGACACCCTGTCTACTTTTAAGACTAGGCTTAAAACTTTCCTTTTTGATAAAGCTTCTAGTTAGAGTGGCTCAGGTTATCCTGATCTATCTCTATAGTTCTGCTGCTATAGGCTTAGACTGCTGGAGGACATAGGGACCCCTTTTTCATCATTCTGCTTCATTCTATCTCTATTCTCCCTCTCTGCAGAATCTGTTAGTTCAATCTCTAACGTTCTGCTCTCTCTGCTTTTTCTCATAGTAGCTTCATCTGGTCTGTTCCTGTTTGGCTGTGACTCCATCCTGGAGAGAAATATCAGCTGTGCTGCTGCCATCAACACCTTTGTTTCTAGATGTTGGAGCTTGGCCTGTTTTCCAGTGTAGTCCTGTTTCTCTGACTGTGACTAACTGGATGTGCTCTCTTCATCCTCTGACATGGGAGCTGGCTCGGAGCTCGTCTGCCTGGCTGTGTGTTTCCTGGACGGGGCCGCCTGTGGAGCTGGTTGACAGTTGCCTTTTGTATCTATGCTTCTTTTTCTATGTCTGCTTCTGTCTCCTTGAACCCCAGTGGGCCTCAGCAGATGGCCGCTCACACTGAGCCTGGTTCTGCTGGAGGTTTCTTCCTGTTCAAAGGGAGTTTTTCCTCTCCACTGTCGCTACAAGCATGCTTAGTGTGAGGGATTGCTGAAGAGTCAATGAGTCGATGCAATCAGCTGGTTTTCCTTAGATAGAAAACTTTGAATCAGTCTGACTGGATGATCTGGTGAACTGGAAAGTGACCTGAGATGACAGGATGTGAACTGGAGCTATAGAAAATAAACTGAATTTTATTTTATTTTATTTATAAGTACAGGCCATTTACGATTTTAGAAGCACAGTCTGTCGATGAACTATTGATAAATGATCATAAAAAGCTAAAAAAAAATATATCAATCAATCTGTCTTTTTTTTTAACCTTTTTATTGGTTATTGTTGAGATTCCAGTCTGAACCAGTCTGGAGCACCTCAGGCTCTTGTGGACAAAACATAATTATTTCCATTATATTACAGTTGCCATCAGAATTGTGGTCATTTTAATCTTGTGCTTTTTTTACTCTGTTTTATCCTCTTCTGCTTATCCGGGATCGAGTCGTGGGGGCAGCAGCTTCAGTAGGGAGGCCCAGACGTCCCTCTCTCCAGCCACTTGGGCCAGCTCTTCCAGGGGAATCCTAAGGAGCTCCCAGGCCTGCTGAGAAACATAGTCCCTCCAGCGTGTCCTGGGTCTCCCTCTGGGTCTCCTCCCAGTGGGACATGCCTGGAACACCTCACCAGGGAGGCATCCTAACCAGATGCCCGAGCCACCTCAACTGGCTCCTCGATGTGGAGGAGCAGCGGCCCTACTCTGAGTCCTCCCCGGATGACTGAGCTCCTCACCCTATCTCTAAGGGAGAGCCCAGACACACTATGGAGAAAACTCATTTCAGCCGCTTGTATCCGGGATCTCATTCTTTCGGTCATGACCCAAAGCTCATGACCATAGATGAGGGTAGGAACGTAGATCGACCGGTAAATCAAAAGCTTTGCTTTTTGGCTCAGCTCTCTTTTCACCATGACAGACCGGTACAGCGCACGCTTCACAGCAGACGCCGCACCAATCCGCCTATCGATCTCCCACTCCATCTTCCCCTCATTTGTGAACAAGACCCCAAGATACTTAAACTCCTCCACTAGGGGCAGTACAACCTCTCCAACCTTCACACTCGGCTGCAAACTGCTCCAGTGAGAGCTGTAGATCACGCCCTGATGAAGCAAATACAACCACATCATCTGAGGATAACAGAGACGCTATCCTAAGGCCACCAAAGTTCTGTTTTGGTTATTTTTAAACTGAAAGTTCAAGCTAACGAATGGATCCACTGTTGGATGTTTGGTACCAAATGTCCATCTGTTCCCACCGACTCTAGTGACCAACAGAGGTGTCAAGTACCAGAGGACAAATGCTTCTTTATCTTACTAAAGTTGAAATGTTGGCTAATTATTTTCTTAGACAAATTTTTACTCTTTACATTTTAAGAATAAACTCATTAGTTTTGTTTAATTTAAGCTCATTTTCATTATGGCCTGTTGGTATTTAACAAAAATAAAAGTTTCATCCAGACAAATAATTTCTTTGTGTTTGGACTCAGTGCTGCCCCCACTTGTTGCTCACCACATACCAAAATAAATACTTTTTCAAGATGATGCAAAGTTAAATTTGACACTGTTACCATTAGTTATAAAACTAAGTAAATTAAGTCTAAGAAAGTTATCATCCAGAATTGTCGAAAAATGTTCCTTTAATATGGTAATGCAGTAAAGCTTCTGGCTATAACCCTAACCACTATTTTATAAGTGAATGAAGGTAAAGCGAGTAAATGAGTCCAAACTTGCATCAGAACAAAAAAAAAAAAGATTAAATCAGGGTGTTATGAAATCTTTAGAGATGAAATATATACATTTGTTGCCAGAAATTCAGCTGATAAACATGGTTTAAGTACTTTAACGCATTTATAATTAATCCCTTTTTCCCCAGGTGGTGTAAATTGAACTATACAAAAGCCTTTTGGATCATCATTGACTCTTCAGCAATCCCTCACACTAGCATGCTTATAGCGACAGTGGAGAGGAAAAACTTTTAACAGGAAGAAACCTTCAGCAGAACCAGGCTCAGTGTGAGCGGCCATCTGCTGAGGCCCACTGGGGTTCAAGGAGACAGAAGCAGACATAGAAAAAGACGCATAGATACAAAAGGCAACTGTAAAAAGCGGCCCCGTTCCAGGAAACACACAACCAGGCAGACGAGCTCCGAGCCAGCTCCCATGTCAGAGGATGAAGAGATAACATCCAGTTAGTCACAGTCAGAGAAACAGGACTACACTGGAAAACAGGCCAAGCTCCAACATCTAGAAACAAAGGTGTTGATGGCAGCAGCACAGCTGATATTTCTCTCCAGGATGGAGTCACAGCCAAACAGGAACAGACCAGATGAAGCTACTATGAGAAAAAGCAGAGAGAGCAGAACGTTAGAGATTGAACTAACAGATTCTGCAGAGTGGGAGAATAGAGATAGAATGAAGCAGAATGATGAAAAAGGGGTCCCTATGTCCTCCAGCAGTCTAAGCCTATAGCAGCAGAACTATAGAGATAGCTCAGGATAACCTGAGCCACTCTAACTAGAAGCTTTATCAAAAAGGAAAGTTTTAAGCCTAGCCTTAAAAGTAGACATATATTCACTCACTCATTTTATACTCCATTATAACACATGTATACCCAATGTTAAACAAAATGGTAAAAATAGTGAAAAATAGGTTTATTTCTGTCATTAAAGTTGCACCTATTGTCTTTAAATCAGTCATCCAACAGAAACCAAAGACATTTAAATGTTTGTTGTCGATGGCACGGGTTCATTCAGTCTTTCCAAGGTCCTACAGAGACACTGGGAGTCATCTCCGTGTCTCTATGATCTCAGGACATAACAATGCGAGGATGAGAGGACAGAGGCTCTGCACCGTCCTCACATGGTGAGGAGGCTCCGCTGGTTAATGACTCAACCCCAGAGCTGAGAGCTCAGACCGACCTGCCTTAAAAAGGAAAACTATCCCTGCAGGCGGTGAATGTTTCCCCTCATAGAGGAACATCTGCTAACATCTGTTAAACCGTCATACAATCAGCTTAAAGGTGAAGAGCAGCATCTGACTGATCATCTCCCTGAATAAGGATTTAATTTTGATTTTTTTCATTAAATAAATCATGTTTAATACTTAGCAGCTGATCTAATGAAGAAAACGTTAAATGGAAGAAACAGAAGAGTTCAGGGCTGCATATTTTCCCATTTACAGCATAAACTGATGAAATAATGAACACATTAATGTGATTTATGCAGACTATTACTGCAGCTGGTCCTGCTGCCGCCTAGATCATGCTCTCATCATAAAACCTGGTTCGTTTCATGATCGGATCTGATTGTGTTTAACACTTCCACTGCAGCTTGTTGCTCCCACATCTATTAATAGGGTCTGATTGTGTGAGTCTGTGTGTTTTCATCCCTCTGGGCTTCCTCACAGAGCTGAAGAGAAGATGCAAGCTGACAGCTGAGGTAAACATCTCCTCCTCCGTGTCTCCCGAAGCCTCGGCCTCCTCCTCCTCTGTCGGTGTTCAGGACTATATAAGGCAGGTTCCTGTCATGATAAAGTGAGAATTGTTTGCCAGGGAAGGTTTAAACAGAAAGGTATTCAAAGCAGGAGAATTATTGAGCATCGGTGGTAATTTTCTTTCAACAAATGTGTTTAAAACCTCTAAACAAACAAGGTAATTATATGTTTAGGTGATTTTATGAGTGAAAAAAGACTAAATTATGCTCATAGAATAATAGAAAAATATTCATTGGCACATAGAAAATTAATTTAGATGAGTTAAATGTACATACCAAAAGAAGAAGGTCACTGAATTCCAGTCTGTTAGAGAACATCAAGTAGGAGAGTTTTGTCGAAATAAAAGGATCTTCAGCATTAATGATCTGTTTAAGGTCAAAACATATCCCCTCACATGGATCTAAGTTTAGACTTTGACTAGACCAAAACTTTGCAAAGTCTTTTTTCCTTTTATTCATTTTAAGGTGAACATCTAGATTTGTTTTGGGTCGTTTTTCTGCTACACAACTCATGTATGCGTGTGCTGAAGCTTAAAAAAGAAGATTAATTCTCCATGGTTTCTATTAAATCATCCACAAGAGTCCTGTTGAACTCTTAGTTTAAAAAGCTTTACTAGTTTTACTCCATAACTAACAGGACAACAACAGTTTGACCTCCTGGATGAGTTGTTGATTACCTCATGGGGCCATTTTGGTTGATCCTCTCCTGTTTTCTCCATTGGTAAATAAAGGTCCCAATTATGGTTCACCTTAACCATCCAGATTCATGTCAATGACTGTGTTTCACACCTGTTCCTGAATTTCTTTTTTTTTGTTGTTGTTGTTGCTTTTGCAATATTTTTGATACTTCCTGTTTTCACACAACAGCAATTTAGGGCGAAAACTACTCCCCAAAATATATTAACTCTTAAATTGTGATTCAACAAAGAGAAGAAAAAAATTCTACAATTCTTTTTTACATTTTATGCAATTAATAAAAAGAAATATTTAAACATTTAATTGTATTTATCTGATATAAACGTTTATTTGATGATCTGATACATGTACGGGCCAATGAAGAAATAAAAAAAAAGTTAACTGATTTTTAAATATTATTTTAGTTTAATATGGGAAAAATCTGTAATTTCAGAATTTTGGATCTGAGATTAAAGTCAGACATGTGAGAAAAATTTTACTGAAATAAAATTTCAAGTCAACTATTTTTTATTTTTTCAATGGCCCTATTTCTCTTCTATATACATCAGATGTAAATAAAAGGAAAAAAAACGTTTTACTCCATCGTGTCCTTAAAATCCCTAAAATTGACATTGCACCTCCCAGCCGCTGGGTGTCGCAGGCGGTCTGTGGTTGTAAACATTGCCTGCCTGTTTCCTGTGTCACAGCGGCGGAGTTTAGACTTTGGGGGTGGAAATTAATGCTGGTAAGCATCGTTAAAGGATAATCTAGTGTCTGAATTATACTGGAGGTGTTATTTTCTAACTCGAAGCCGATTTGACTTTGGTCAGTAGAACCACAGAGAACAAAAAAAGGCAGAGGAAGAAGGTAGCTTTGTTTTTCAGGTTAGCTAACCGGTGTTTCCTTTATCGGACAGCATCTTTTTACCTTAAACTTTAAGTTTTGATTTAACCTTTTACTCTTTAAAATTTTAAGTATTTGCGCTATTTGTGCGACGGTTCGTATTTATTACGCCTAAAATGTGAATGTACATATTGTTTTGTTTGTTGTGGCTAAATACTGGAGCGGATAATCAGCCGCGGAGCTTTGATTTTTCTTTACTTTTTTTAAACTATTGTTTTATTTTGTTATTTTCAGGCTTTGGTCATGGAGAAGAAGGCGGTGCAGGCAGCAGCCAAAGAGTTTCTGCAGTTTGTCAACAAAGGAGTATCTCCATATCACGGTAAGTCTAGGAAAAGGCTGAAGGATAATCCTGAAGCCGTCACACTGAACCTCATTGACCAACCTTTTAAATTAAAGGTTTATTTACACTTTCTCGGTTTTAAAATCAAACATCCCCTTTATTATTACACCATTCTGACCGATTAGTGCTGCTTTTTAATTCGGCTAAAAGTTTTTGAGTGTCATTTACTTACAAACAGCAGCAGGATGCTGTTTATGGATGAGTTATTGGTCATTAGTTTTAGCACAAATGTAATCTCTACTGTTTAAATGCAGTGTTCATAGGGAAGATATGGCAGTAATGACCTAATTTCAGGGTATAAGACTATTTACAAACTATGAAATGATAGAAAAAATTCTCTGCAAATATAAAACAACTGGTGATTGATAGATCAGGGAGGCTAAGTTAATTGTTTCCCTCAAGTTCCCTGTTTGACAGTTTCAGACAAACACCTTCTGCTTCACCTACTGACACCTGAAGCTGCTCCACCCATCAGTCATTTACTCAGAGTCTCACCTGCAGGTCAGGGAGTTAGGAACCTGAGATTTTAAAATATTCAGTCTCTGAGATTTTCAGTCTCTAATTAAAATCATCCACCTCTGAGGTCCATTAAACAACTTAAATGCTGGACAGGTTGATGTTGAATAAATGCATGGATAGGAAATTTATTTCAGACACTTTCAGACAAACAATTTGACGACAACAATACATTATTCAACAAAATACACACAAAGACTAGTTGAGATCAACCAAACTAGGAAACCAATTTCCAAACTTACTAAATTCAACGAACATAAATAGAAACAAAACACTTCACCTAATAAACCTTTCTGTATATACAGCCACAGAAATGACACAATTTAATGTAATCTAATTTATTTTGGCCCTGATACCTGGCTGTGCAGTACTGGCCGACGTCGATGCCATCTGTGTGAAATTGATGTGTGTATTAGTGGTGTCAAAAGTTCACACATTTGTTACTTAAGTAGAAGTATAGATACTGCAGTTTAAAAACACTCTGGTAAAAGTTGAAGTATCAACTTGACCTCTTTACTCAAGTAAAAGTGAAAAAGTATGTGCTCCGTTACGTCCCCTGGCTGAGTCTAGGGGGTGTAAGGGACTAACATAAATGTAGACAGTGAATGAATGAGTCAAAAGGGCATTTAAAGGTTTTATTCTGCCATTTCTTGTGATTAAATTGTGGTAAAAGCTTCAGGGAGAGCCCAGGCCAAAATAACAAACAAAACAACCCTAAAGAAAAAAGAAAAGTGGACTTGCCTAACTCAATATGAAACCAAAATATACAAACCTACAAAATAACCTACATAACCAACACATAAACAGGAGGAAACTGGGGTTAAACAAAAGGGCAGCTCTCCCCTACAAAAAACATCCAAGCATGTTTACTTAACAGCCCGTTAGATTCAACAAGGAACACAGAGATGTACGGCAGACAAATGGCTCAGAGGCTCTGAAGTTCTGCTTCACAGGCCTTAGATAGTCTTCAGGCGATCTTGATTGGATAGACTCAGGAAGCAGCAGCCAGTCTTAAAGGCGGAGCCTAAAACAGAGCAAGGTGTTAATTGGATGCAAGAACAAAGACGTCCAACTTGGGGATGTAAGCTCCAAAAACTATTTAAAGTATAAAAGTATAAAGTAACCTTTAAAAAAAAACAGCCAGATGCTACTTTATGAACTGAAAACTCAATTTTTTGACTATTTCTAAAAATTCTGTGAGATAGATCCAAGGATGAGGGAGGTCTTGTTGGTCTCCGTCTCCCGATACGCTCTCGCCTGTGTCCGACCTTTCAGACATTTCAACATCTTTTTCTGAATCCCACATTGTAGCATGGCATAGACAATTCCCGTTAGCAGTTTGAAGAACACCTGCTTGCTTCTGATGGTTTCCTTTAGCTAACCAATGAGTGTTTGCGTTCTATGACTCATCCAATCACACTAGTTTTCACTAGATGTGGGTGGAGCCAATGATCTGCATTGGATGGAGCACATGACGGGAAATAAAGATTTCGAAACATTAAACCGAAGCCAAGAGTAACGAGTAACGATTCTTAAAAAATGTAAGGAATAGAAAGTACAGATACTAGTGTGAAAATTTAATGAGTAGAAGTCAGAAGTAGGAAGAAAAATAAATAATAGAGTAAAGTATAGATACATAAAAAGTGTACTTAGCTACAGTAATGAAGTATTGGAACTTTGTTACTTTACAGCTCTGCTGCTAATGAGTAAATAGCATAAATCAATGCATGAAATAAAAGAAATCTAAATTTCCTACACATGTTTGATAAGGTTTGTCGGGTGTGAAGCTGTTTGCTGTCCTGTGAACAGATGTTGCGTCCGTCAGCAGGAAACGGAGCAGAACCAGGTTAGATTACCAGATGACTTTGAGCTCAAGATAAGATAAAGATGGAGCAGATATTTCATCACAAGTCCCATCCTCCTGCTCTTTAACCCAATAAATACTTTAGGTATAGCAAAAAATAAATGAGAGACGGCCTGTTTTTAATATATTTAGGTGATAAAACTATAGATCTTATTGTTTTATCTTATCAAGATTTAAGCAGATTATCTTTTTCTGCTTTATTTGAGGTATTTGGAAGAACTTTAGTTGGTTATTGTTGGTTTTTACCCTAGAGATATGTAGGAATCGCCATAGCAAATGTTTACCCAGTAATTCAGAGTTTTGTCTCAGTTTCTCGGGGATATCTTCCAGTTCTTCTTCTCTGGTTTCCTGCAGTGGTTGAAGAATGCAAACGCAACCTGCTGGAGGCCGGCTTCTTGGAGCTGAAGGAGACGGAGCAGTGGGACATCAAACCAGCCAGCAAGGTGGGTCGGGGTCAAAGGTCAGAAGGGGGTTAGGAGACCTAGCTTAACTTCAATAAACTAAAGATAATTGATGATCTCTGCAGTATTTTTTGACCAGGAACTTCTCCAGCCTCATCGCCTTCGCCGTGGGCGGACAGTACCGGCCTGGAAATGGCTTCTCCATGATCGGCGCCCACACCGACAGCCCCTGCCTCAGAGTACGGCCCCCAGCTCTCTTTATTCTAAGCTTTATTCTGAGATTAAGGGGTTGTTAAGGTCTGGTCTGTTGTTCCAGGTGAAGCCGAGGTCTAAGAGGACCAAGCAGGGCTGCCTGCAGGTCGGAGTGGAGTGTTACGGTGGTGGCATCTGGAACACCTGGTTCGACCGAGACCTGACCGTCGCCGGCCGCGTCATGGTCAAGGTATCATTAGTACCATTTTTGACTTTTCATAGTTTAGACCAGAGGTCACGGATTAGCGGACCAAGGTTAGGATCCAGACTCACCTGCTGGCTAATTTGCAAGGGCTCAAACATGTACGGCTGGAAGCCTTCTACACCAAACCAAGCTTCTGCCGCCCTGGCGTCCTCTTCCACAACATCTTCGTCCCCGCTTTCCTCCTCTAAATAAAAAATGGATGACGGAGGAGACTCATCCACGACCTCCGACACTAAACTCTCCTCCTGTTGCATGTTTCCGCTGTCCATAGCGTTCCTTGACAGCGTCGTTTCTAAGTCACCAATTTAGTGCTACTTGGTCCCAATGGAATTTCCAATTGGGAACCTACTAGCACTAAGATGCTAACTGGTTAGCAAGATGCTTCCCACAAACCGGCCACAACCAAACTGGCTTGTGAACCTTCAGCCATAACAATTCCGCCCCCTTGATAAATGACCAATCACATTCACTTTATGCACTCGTGTAAAGTCGGGCACCACTGGGAGAATTCGGAAATTCAACGATTGGAACAGCCGCTTCCCTACAACTTTAAAGCCTTGCAGGGCAGCCTAAAGCCCACTGCTCTCATTAAAGCTGAAGTCTGTAAGTTTTTAAAAATCACTTTTTTTGTCATATTGGCTAAAACTGTCCCTATGCCCAGACAGCAGTACATGTGATATGTAACCTGAGAAAAAAACTGCTTCAATTGGTACCGCCTACTGCCTGTATTTCAATCTGGAAAGAATAATTCGGGACGAGTCAAAACAACCAATCACAGCCAGAGGAGCGTCTGATGGAGTGTCAATCACAGCTCACACACGCTGAATCCCGCCCCCCCTTCTGGTCGCATGCGGTAGCCGCGCAGATGCTGTGAGAGGGGTGGAGCTTGGAGGTGGGGCATGAGTGAAGCAGAGAGGGTGGGGGAGTGGCGTGAAACCTGTTTTTCTTCAAATTTTCAGTCGAAGTCTGCTCTCTCCTCAATGTTACAGACTGCAGCTTTAAGCCCAGAAAAAGAAAGAAAGAAAAAAAAAAACGGTCAGTAAAAGTGAAAAGGGAGTCAGGAAATTGTATCCATACCAAAATGAATGATTGTTGTTTTTAAAATGGAAAAAAAATTCTATTTTTTATATTTTTATTTAAAAAGTCAACGTATAACATGGATCCATAAAAGCCTGCATTTTATTTCAGTGTTAAATTCTGTTTAAAGTAACAGATTATAATTAATAAAAATGTTACATTATACATTTTTTGTATGATTTTCTTTATTCAGACCCCGCAGATTTTTAATTGGTTACCTGATCTAGATGTTATTTATTAACTTTAATCTATTTAATTTAAGAATTTCTTAATATTTGTAATGTTTTATTTATATATATATATATATATATATATATATATATATCATACCCTAATAAAGTTCATTTTATGTATTTGGACTGATGAACAAATTTAAAATCATTTGAAAAGTTTTTACTGCTTATTAACTCTGTTGTTCCTTCTTTAAACTGTAGAGGGCGCCAAATATGCATCTAATGTAACTCCAAGTTTTATACAGGTGCTGGTCATAAAATTAGAATATCATGAAAAAGTAGATTGATTTCAGTAATTCCATTTAAAAAGTGAAACTTGTATATTATATTCATACATTACATACAAACTCATATATTTCAGATGTTTATTTTGTTTAATTTTGATGATTACAAATGACAACAAATGAAAATCTCAAATTCATCATATCAGAAAATTAGAATATTACTGAAGACCAATAAAAACAAAGGATTTATAGAAATGTTGGCCAACTGAAAAGTATGAACATGAAAAGTATGAGCATGTACAGCACTCAGTATTTAGTTGGGCCTCCTTTGGCCTGTATTACTGCAGCAATGCGGCGTGGCATGGAGTCGATCAGTCTGTGGCACTGCTCAGGTGTTATGATAGCCCAGGTTGCTCTAATAGTGGCTTTTAGCTCTTCTGAATTGTTGGGTCTGGTGTATTGCATCTTCTTCTTCACAATACCCCATAGATTTTCTATGGGGTTAAGGTCAGGAGAGTTTGCTGGCCAATTAAGAACAGGGATACCATGGTCCTTCAACCAGGTACTGGTAGCTTTGGCACTGTGTGCAGGTGCCAAGTCCTGTTGGAAAATGAAATCTGCATCTCCAAAAAGTTGGTCAGCTGCAGGAAGCATGAAGTGCTCTAAAACTTCCTGGTATGTGGCTGCGTTGACCCTGGACCTCAGAAAACACAATGGACCAACACCAGCAGATGACATGGCACCCCAAACCATCACTGACTGTGGAAACTTTACACTGGACTTCAAGCAACGTGGATGAAGTGCCTCTCTTCTTTTCCTCCAGACTCTGGGACCTTGATTTCCAAAGGAAATGCAAAATTTACTTTCATCAGAGAACATGACTTTGGACCACTCACCAGCAGTCCAGTCCTGTTTCTCTTTAGCCCAGGCAAGACGCTTCTGACGCTGTCTGTGGTTCAAGAGTGGCTTGACACAAGGAATGCGACAGCAGAAACCCATGTCTTTCATACGTCTGTGTGTGGTGGTTCTTGAAGCACTCACTCCAGCTGCAGTCCACTCTTTGTGAATCTCCCCCACATTTTTGAAGGGGTTTTGTTTCACAATCCTCTCCAGGGTGCGGTTATCTCTCTTGCTTGTACACTTTTTTCGACCACATCTTTTCCTTCCCTTCGCCTCTCTATTAATGTGCTTGGACACTGAGCTCTGTGAACAGCCAGCCTCTTTAGCGATGACCTTTTGTGTCTTGCCCTCCTTGTGCAAGGTGTCGATGGTCGTCTTTTGGACAACTGTCAAGTCAGCAGTCTTCCCCATGATTGTGTAGCCTATAGAACTAGACTGAAAGACCATTTAAAGGCTTTTGCAGGTGGTTTGAGTTAATTAGCTGATTAGAGTGTGGCACCAGGGGCCATCAATTTTGAACCTTTTCACAATATTCTAATTTTCTGATATGATGAATTTGAGATTTTCATTTGTTGTCATTTGTAATCATCAAAATTAAACAAAATAAACATCTGAAATATATGAGTTTGTATGTAATGTATGAATATAATATACAAGTTTCACTTTTTAAATGGAATTACTGAAATCAATCTACTTTTTCATGATATTCTAATTTTATGACCAGCACCTGTACATGTTTTCTGGTTAAATGTTGAAATATTAAAGCACTCTGTGAGTCTGTTTATTTTCTTTAATATCAGGTTTAAACTCTGTAACATGTTTTCTTTTTAACTATCATCGGTTAGTTTACATTTTTTCTGCCTTAACTACAAGCTTTAAAACATTGATTGCTGAGCGTAGATGATTACCTCCTCTGGTGAGCCATCAGCTGCTGTTAGAGTTCAAAGTTCACTTGTGAATCATGGCCTCCTTCTTCCTCTCTGCAGAGTGATGGGAAGCTCCTCCACCGTCTGGTCCACGTGTCCCGGCCCCTGCTGAGGGTCCCCCACCTCGCCATCCACCTGCAGCGCGACATCAACGATTCCTTTGGGCCCAACAAGGAGAACCACATGTGAGAACCAAACCACAGCCGCTCCTTTAGACCCGACCGATCGGGTTCCAGCACCAGCAGGTTTCTCACTGTGGAAAAATGAGCAAGAAGCAGCAGTTGTGTTTTCTGAGCTACAGTGAATGCACCATTCTTAGTGATTTAAGTTCAGGATGAGACTAAGATCTAGTTTCAGTGTTTTTCTCTGTGTTTGTTTGTCAGAGTTCCCATCATCGCCACAGCGGTTCAGGAGGAGCTGGAGACGGGCTCCTCTTCATCTGGAGACGCTTCCTGTGCTGCGAACACGGTAAAAACACGACGGGGTCAGCAGGAACACCTGAACTGTTCTCTAAGAACAGCCAGAGTTTAAACCACATCCTGGTGGATAGACCTCTCCCAACTTCTATCCTGCCTTCTTTCCTCCCTTCCTTTTCTGCTTCCTTTTCTCCTTCCTTCTTTCTTTCCTGCCTGCCTGCCTTGTTTCCTCCCTTCCTTTTCTCCTTTCAACTTTCCTGCCTTGTTTCCTCCCTTCCTTTTCTCCTTCCTTCCTTCCTACCTGCCTGCCTGCCTTGTTTCCTCCCTTCCTTTTCTCCTTCCTTCCTTCCTTTCTTCCTTTCTGCCTGTCTGCCTTGTTTCCTCCCTTCCTTTTCTCCTTCCTGCCTGTCTGCCTTGTTTCCTCCCTTCCTTTTCTCCTTTCACCCTTCCTGCCTTGTTTCCTCCCTTCCTTTTCTCCTTCCTTCCTTCCTTCCTTCCTTCCTGCCTTGTTTCCTCCCTTCCTGCCTGCCTGCCTTGTTTCCTCCCTTCCTTTTTTCCTTCCTTCCTTTTCTCCTTCCTTCCTTTCTTCCTTCCTTCCTTCCTGCCTTGTTTCCTTCCTTCCTTCCTTCCTTCCTTCCTCCCTTCCTTGTTTCCTGCATTGTTTTCTTCCTTCCTTCCTTCCTTCCTTCCTTCATTCCTTCATTCCTTCCTTCCTTCATTCCTTCCCTCCTTCCTTCCTTCCTTCCTTCCTTCCCTTTCTCCTTCCTTCCTTCCATCCTGCCTTGTTTCCTCCCTTCCTTTTCTCCTTCCTGCCTTCCTTTCTTCCTTCCTGCCTGCCAGCCTTGTTTCCTCCCTTCCTTTTCTCCTTCCTGCCTTCCTTTCTTCCTTCCTGCCTGCCTGCCTTGTTTCCTCCCTTCCTTTTCTCCTTTCTTCCTGCCTGCCTTGTTTCCTCCCTTCCTTTTCTCCTTTCTTCCTGCCTGCCTTGTTTCCTCCCTTCCTTTTCTCCTTCCTTCCTTACTTCCTACCTGCCTGCCTGCCTTGTTTCCTCCCTTCCTTTTCTCCTTCCTGCCTTCCTTTCTTCCTTCCTGCCTGTCTGCCTTGTTTCCTCCATTCCTTTTCTCCTTCCTTCCTTCCTTCCTTTCTGCCTGCCTGCCTTGTTTCCTCCCTTCCCTTTTTCCTTCCTTCCTTTTCTCCTTCCTTCCTTTCTTCCTTCCTTCCTTCCTGCCTTGTTTCCTTCCTTCCTTCCTTGTTTCCTGCATTGCTTTCTCCCTTCCTTTTCTCCTTCCTTCCTTCCTTCCTTCCTTCCTTCCTTCCTTCCTTCCTTCCTTCCTTCCTTCCTTCCTTCCTTCCTTCCTTCCTTCCTTCCTTACTTCCTACCTGCCTGCCTGCCTTGTTTCCTCCCTTCCTTTTCTCCTTCCTGCCTTCCTTTCTTCCTTCCTGCCTGTCTGCCTTGTTTCCTCCCTTCCTTTTCTCCTTCCTTCCTTCCTGCCTTGTTTCCTCCCTTCCTTTTCTCCTTCCTTCCTTCCTTCCTTTCTGCCTGCCTGCCTTGTTTCCTCCCTTCCTTTTTTCCTTCCTTCCTTTTCTCCTTCCTTCCTTTCTTTCTTCCTTCCTTCCTTCCTGCCTTGTTTCCTTCCTTCCTTCCTTCCTTCCTTGTTTCCTGCATTGTTTTCTCCCTTCCTTCCTTCCTTCCTTCCTTCCTTCCTTCCTTCCTTCCTTCCTTCCTTCCTTCCTTCCTTCCTTCCTTCCTTCCTTCCTTCCTTCCTCCCTTCCTTCCTCCCTTCCTTTTCTCCTTCCTTCCTTCCATCCTGCCTTGTTTCCTTCCTTCCTTGTTTATGGTTTGATATAACTACAAATTGAGCTCTTGATGGAGCTCCGTCACATCTGGATCCGGGTCAGGCAGCTGTTCTGTGTCTGTGTCCAGGCGGAGAAGCACCACCCGGCTCTGGTGAAGGTTCTGTGCTCGGAGCTCGGCGTTCAGCCGGACGCTCTTCTGGACTTTGAGCTGTGTCTGACCGACACGCAGCCGGCGGTGAGTTTGCACTTTCCTGTCAGTTACTGGGAGACGGAGATCTCCAGGAAATCGAAGGTTCTGACTGAATCATTTTAGGCTTCAGGAAGAGCAGTTTGATCAAAGCTGCCTGAAAGTGATCGTTTAATGTGTCTGAAGCTGCTATAAACCAGAAATGTGAAGTTTCTGCTCCATGTTCAGGCTTTAGGAGGAGTTTACGAGGAGTTCATCTATTCTCCTCGTCTGGATAACCTGCACAGCTGCTACTGCGCCCTGCAGGTCAGTCTTCATGCCGACAGCTCTCTGCCGACTGAGCTCTGCTTCACACCGACATCCTGAAATAAGAGAGAAGCAGGTCTTCCTCCTCATGTCTGCTCCGCCTTTCAGGGGCTGATCCAGTCGTGCGGCGGAGCCTCTCTGTCCGAGGATCCAAACGTCAGAATGATCACCCTGTACGACAACGAGGAGGTGAGAGGAGACGCCCTCAGGTCGGTAAATACCTGGAGGAAGGACGTAAAGTCTGAGCTGTTTGCTGCAGGTGGGATCCGAGAGCGCCCAGGGAGCGCAGTCCAACCTGACGGAGCTCATCCTTAGCCGACTTGCCGCCTCCACCTCCAACCTCACCGCCTTCCAGCAGGCGGCGCCGCAGTCCTTCATGATCAGCGCAGACATGGCTCACGCCGTGCACCCCAATTACACGTCAGTGAGGCCGTCTCACAAAAAAAAACATAGAAATAGGAGGAAGATTGGTCTAAAAGAGTCTGGATGCACAAGTTTACCTGCATTCTGAACTATTAAGCAATAGTTCAGGAACTCAGAGACGATCTTAGAAGGAAGATGTTTGATCTTCAGGATGCACCAAGTCATTAGTGTCTTATAAAGGTGAGAGGAGGAGAGACAGAAGTATCTGCTCCAATTTTAACATTTCACAGCCAAAGATTGAACGTCTGGATGAGCCCATAACTCTGTAGCATCTGTTAATCATGGTGGTGGCAGCGTCATGCTGTGGGGTCACTTCTCTGCATTAGTAGAGGTTTTTATTATCATATCAGAACTTTTTTTGGTATAAAATGGGTGCTGTAATCTCAGGTCACTTTCCAGTTCACCAGATCATCCAGTCAGATTGATTCAAAATTTTCTATCTAAGGAAAACCAGCTGATTGCATCGACTCATTGACTCTTCAGCAATCCCTCACACTAAGCATGCTTGTAGCGAAAGTGGAGAGGAAAAACTCCCTTTGAACAGGAAGAAACCTCCAGCAGAACCAGGCTCAGTGTGAGCGGCCATCTGCTGAGGCCCACTGGGGTTCAAGGAGACAGAAGCAGACATAGAAAAAGAAGCATAGATACAAGAAAAACTGATCTCCAACATCTAGAAACAAAGGTGTTGATGGCAGCAGCACAGCTGATATTTCTCTCCAGGATGGAGTCACAGCCAAACAGGAACAGACCAGATGAAGCTACTATGAGAAAAAGCAGAGAGAGCAGAACGTTAGAGATTGAACTAACAGATTCTGCAGAGTGGGAGAATAGAGATAGAATGAAGCAGAATGATGAAAAAGGGGTCCCTATGTCCTCCAGCAGTCTAAGCCTATAGCAGCAGAACTATAGAGATAGATCAGGATAACCTGAGCCACTCTAACTAGAAGCTTTACAGTATTTCCGGTCATTAAAAATCATTAAAAGTCAGTCAATTATTATTTTTTAAATGCATTAATTGGGATTAAAATTTATTAAATGTTATTATCATGGCATTTAAAATGCTTTATTAAAAAAATTTATAAAAACGGATGTATAATGTATAAAAATTGGAAAAGAGGCTCAAGGCGGAGTAAAAGCTACAGAATAGGAAAATGCAGAGTCATTGGTACTTGTTGACGGCATTAAAATTTGTTTCTAGTTTTTTCTTGTTGATGACATTAAAAGAGCATTAAAAAGCATTAAATTAGAGTTTCTCATTCCTTCATAAACCCTGCTTTATCAAAAAGGAAAATTTTAAGCCTAGCCTTAAAAGTAGACAGGGTGTCTGCCTCACGGACTAAAACTGGTAGTTGGTTCCACAGGAGAGGAGCCTGATAACTAAAAGATCTGCCTCCCATTCTACTTTTAGAAATTCTAGGAACCACTAGTAAACCTGCAGATTGAGAGCGAAGTGCTCTGTTAGGAACATAAGGAACAATCAGATCTCTGATATCAGATGGAGCTTGGCCATTTAAGGGCCCCATTCTCCCTTTTTAGGTCTTTGTATGACCTCACAGATCAAGCAGTAAACCAACCATTAATATAAGGTTCTGATGGGAAGGGGCGGGGCCTAACATGGACCTAAACTTTAGGTCCTAAAGGAACCTGTTGAGCCGCATTGAGTCTTAGCTAAAACTTGTGTGTCCAGACTTAGTTTTTTTAATCCAAACAATGATTAATCAGGAAGTGGTTTGATTGAGTTAATGAGACTAAAACCAACCAATCAGCTGACAGGACGGAGCTCCTGTCCAGCTAGCAGCTCGTCTCTCTAAATGTCTGATTATTTCCTCAGGGAGAAGCACGAAGAGAACCACCGACCTGCTTTCCACAAGGTCAGTCCTGATCGAAGCTCTTCTAGATCTGCCATTCTAGATCTGCTCTCTAAAATAAACAGAGGAGTTCTGATTGATGTAAAATCTCCTTCCAGGGACCAGTGATCAAGTTCAACAGCAACCAGCGCTACGCCACCACCGCCGTCACCGCCTGCGTGGTCCGAGAGGTAGCCAGCAGGGTCGGCGTGCCGCTGCAGGTGCGTCTTATTCAAACCATCAGTGGTTACATCTCTGAATGAGTGAATAAACTCGCAGCAGATAAATCAGCTCTGTGGAGGAGATAATCAGCTACAGAACATCTGATAACATCTGAGCTGCTTTTATGGCAGCAGAGACCCTGGAAGAGCTCCAGCAGCAAAGTTAAACATTACATCCGACCTATGAAGGGGCAACCTGAGGCACTTTAACACTGACATTTAAAACCTCTCACGAATTTAAAGGTGCTTTAAAATATGTAGAAGGTATAATCAGAGCAAAGATTAAACTAACAGATCAGATCTGGGAAAAAAGCTCCATGTAATCCAGCATGGAGGTGGAAGCATTATGCTGCGGGGTGTTTCCTGCTAATTGAGGCCTTCATTCATCTCACAGTATCATTTACTTTCTATAAAAACATTAAAATCCTGAATCTTTATCAAAATCCACATTTGCAAACATTAAGTGTAATTTTTTACTTGTAGGTAGGAGCAACATATGAATAATAAAACTGAAACATAGAAGCTTAATCATGGGTGTTTTAGTTGCTTTTTACCCAAAGCTACAGTTAACCTGAGCGGCCACTAGAGGGCGCACTGACCTATTAATGTTCAATGTCCTAAAAGCAGATCTGAAACTCAACCCAGAGCTTTTTTTTCCCCATGTTAAATCCACGGAGTCCTTTCAGAATAAGACTTCCTGTCTCCGTCTCCTGCAGGATGTGATGGTGCGTAACGACAGCCCCTGTGGGACCACCATAGGACCCATCCTGGCCGCCCGCCTGGGCATCCCGGTGGTGGACATCGGCGCCCCTCAGCTGTCCATGCACTCCATCAGGGAGATGTGCTGCACCTCCAGCGTGCTGCAGAGCACCACGCTCTTCAAGGTAACAAAATCCTTTTTCTCACAGCTATGCTCTGTATGCTCTGATTTAAAGATGTTCTACGTGACCCATGAACCCTGATCTATGGCTACGTTCAAACTGCAGGCCTTGATGCTCAATTCAGATTTTTTTTATGAAATCCTATTTCCAAATATATGCGACTTGTATGTGATCTACTGTGTGAGCTGCAGTCGTACAAGCAAGTGTCCCGCATGCGCAGTAGAGGACGCAATGATGTCACAGGCCAGCGTGCTCTGTTTTTATGGAAGTTAACATGGATGCTAGTGCTGGAGAACATCAAGCGATCTTTCCCAACCATAAAAACTCAAGCTTTTCAATATGGTTGAACATAAATTCTGCTCTCCGCATCATCGTCTGCCATGGTTGTTGTTTTTCTTGCCACTTCAATGTAACAAGACCCAGCATAGTGACCTTTGTCGGTATTAATCGCGTTCGGTCGGATGGATGCGACCTGGCCGTTCGGATACAGGTCGCATTTGAAAAGATCAGCTTCGTATCGGATTCAGGACCACAGAGCCAAGTGGCCTGGATCGCATTGGAAAAAATCGGATCTGTGTCGTTCAGACTGAAATAAAAAGATCGGATACAGGTCGCATATGGGCAAAAACATACGGATTTGGGTCCCTTCAGGCTGCAGTGTGAACGTAGCCAAAGTCTACAGTGGACCAGAATAAACAGCTTCATACTTTCTGCTCAGAGTGATCCTCTGGAGTTCATCTCGGTTCAAACCTCAATATATTTAGTCCAATTTAAATGCTGCACAGAACCGCAGTCGTCCTGCCAACATGTCAGTGTTTATAGAAACCTGCCAGTCTGCAGGTTATTATTAGATTTATTCACTTTAGGGCTGCAAATAATGATTATTTTGGTCATCTATTCATCTGTTTATTTTTTCGATTAATCAATTAATAATCTGATTACAACGGAGTATTTGGGCCAGCCTAGAGATATATTTCTATTTTTTATTTTAAGAATAAAGTTGCAATATTACGAGAATAAAGTCATCATACATCAACCAGCTTCAGAATGAAAGCTTGGAGCTCCGCCCATCAGATGACGTCAGACCAGCTCCACCAATCAGCAACCAGAGTCCACTTTCCTCATTTTAGGGAAAAAAGGGATTCTGGGAAGAGTTGTTATAAAATACAACTTGTTTCTCGTAATTTTAGGACTTTATTCTCGTAAATTTCTGACTATTTTCGTTGTGACTTTTTTCACGTGATATTAAAACTTTTTTCTCATAACGTTACGACTTTATTCTCGAAATAGAAAGAAAAAAATCTCTAGCCTGGCCCTAATACTCCAGCCAAAGCTTCCTTAAAGATTTTTTTACGAAATTAAAGCAGGCGAAGCTGAAACTTTTCCTCTTTTTTTTAAAGCTTAAATGTAAAATATTAATATATTTTTTTGACAATTTTCATATAGTTCCTGCTCTAAATGAGTCGCTCTGTAAGATAAAGACATGTTTTACAGTCCCTATATTCCAATTAACAATTAATCGAGTTGACGATTATTTCAATAATCGGTCAATCCGATTGTTTGGAACCTAACTGTCAGGTCTAAGCACCTAAAACATCATACATGCATCCAGGGAAAGAAAGGAGGCACAGAGACAATTAATTTAGTTTTACTCACGAGGAGAGTAGGAAGAGACTCCATCCCACTCTGCCGGTCTTCAACTTTCTCCTCACTATTTATTAAAGTTAGAGGGGGGTTCCCTAGTTACACAAGCTGAGGTTGCGCTAAAGGAATAGGAAACAAAAAATACAATTCAATTTGCAGCCTCAGTGCACAGTTCAGTTTGCATTTAAATGTCTTGCGGTCAAATGGTCCAAGAACGTCCTAGTTTCGTTAAGCTTGAGCAATACTTCCTGATAGTTGACCTATACTGCTTGTGCAACACCTCTCTGGAACAGTAATATGTCACACATTATACATCATAAGAACAGACGTTAAGTATCTTATACATAATTACACCAACACTAATTCATTCTGAACAATATTTACAGCTAAGCTTTAAAAAAACAGGTTTTTTTCTGTTGCCCTCATGTTTCTTGGACCAGTAAACTAATGGTTCTGGTCCAGTAACACAGACATCCCATAATGGAGTCCAAACTCCTCTTTATATTCCCTTCATATTGCATCAATTCAGCTGAAGCAGGTTTGACCTAATGGTGTTGCCGTAGAGCCTCACTTACAGAGTTTTGTTAATAAATAGTTGTTTGTAATAATCAGAAGTTATTAAAGCATCAGAAACGTATTTCCGTACTTCACCTGAAATATTGGCATCAATAAATTTTTTTTTTCTAGAAGAGTTAGCCTTAAGCTAGCCTGTTTTAAAGCTAATGTTTTCTTACAGGTTGAGGTTTAATGTCTGTCTCGTATCTTCAAGGTTTCACATCATGATTATTTATCTTCTAATGGTTTTATTATTCTATAATCCAGTGAGTTTAACGGACTAAAGATGCATGGTGTTGCCAGAGTGATGCTGTGTGATTAAAACCCAGCGGTTTGCTTTGACAGTGTGGACGTCCTGGTTGTCTGAAACCAGCTGCCTCTGTGTTTTGGCTGTTAGATGAAGGGAGAGCAGCTGTGGAATGATGTTCAACACATTCTCAGCCGAATCTTTTTTATTTCATCAGTAATGAGCGGATCTAAGAACAGGGATCTAAACCCTCTGCAGACGGGTTGTGTTTGTTAACCAGCTGTCGTCTGAGAAGCAGACGTAAACATTCCTCGCCTCGTTTTGTTTTTCTCTCAGCTCATTGAGTCGCTCTGTTTTTATTTCCCACATCCTGTCTTGCAGGGCTTCTTTGAACATTTTCCCAGCATCAGGAGTTCGCTGGTCGTCGACTGAGGAACCTGCTGCTGCTGCTCACATTTTCTCTGTTAAATCTCAGAAACTCTGTTCCAACTGACAGATTTATGAAATAAAGATCTGAATTCTTTGTCTGGGTCGGTTTTTATTGTCTGTTTCCTCCTGCAGGATGTCATTGAGTTAAACGTGCAGATGGAGGTTAAAGTGATGCTGCTGCAGTAATTTAATTTCTCCTGCTTGCTTTTAATAAAACCCAGCGAGCTGCTTCGTCTGCTACTCTGCCAGGTTTTTGGCACAGACGGATGAAGCAGCGAGCCAAGTGTTGATGCAGAGAGGAGTTATCTTCCCTTAGAGAGGGTCTGACAGAGGAGAAATATATTGAACAGGTCAAAAACACCTTTAATAACACAGACCAGGTAATTACAGTTATGTTCAAAAAGCTTCAGATTGTCAGGGTTCGGTGGAGGTTTGGGGACCCAAATGCAGAGGTGAGTTCTTGAAGTTTTATTTAAGTACTCAGGCAACTGAGGCAGGAATCCAAATATCCAACATAAAAATACAAAACAAAACAGAACCACGAAGATATCGAGGAAAGATGAGGAACTGCACAGGAGAGTATTTATGGAAGACTGAACAAAGACAGGACTAATGAGCTGATTGGGAGCAGCTGTGAACAGAGGAGTCTAGAAGGAGCCGGGGGAGAGGAGACCGACACCAGAGGGCAAGTAAACAAAAAGCTAAGAACTCGAATATATCCATAAAACACCAATAAAGGTAGTGAACAAAGAAAAACATGGATCAATGTGAAATTGAAAACTCACAGAAAGCTTAACAGAACCAGGACCGTTACACAGAAAATCTGTTTGCATCAATATTAATTTAATCCTCTCTGGGTTCCTAAACCAGAGTTGCTGACATTCCACACAGGACTATAATTTGCATTGTTTATTAAAGGAAAAGTATGGTCATATTCAGAATTCAAACTTCTTAAAGTACTTTAAATATAAAATTATTACATACTGAGCTGAGAACGTGTCTGTCTTTAAAAAAATAAAATACATTTTATGAAGCCAACAGTAGCATTGATCAATATGAAAGAATGTGTCTTTTCTAAGTGAATCGATTGTAAATCCATTATATTATTAAATAAAAAGCTTCTCTCTATATGTCGCTACATTATGTTAGCTGTTTACAACTAAAAAGCTCCTTTCTCCTGTCCTCTGCCTTCATCTTCTCCACATGAGGACCATATCAACCATCTCTGTGCAGGAGCAGATTTACCATTAGGCAAAACTAGGCAGTTTCCTAGGGCCCAAAAGTTCTTGGGGGGCCCCATAAAGCTCAGTTTACATGTATGATTAATACAAGTATTCCTTATTTGTGCACATTTATTATGTTTTTAATAAAATGCCATCACAATGCTTATAATAAGTGTGTCTCAGCCCCCCTTCAGTGTCCTCCATATTGGATCAGTCCATTTGCTGCACATGTTCAGAAAGGTCCAAACAGACAGCAGCAAACCATTTGAAAACAAACCATGCAAAGAGCAGTGTTGCCAACTTAGCGCTTTAGTCGCTATATTTAGCCACTTTTCAGACCCCTCTAGCACTTTGATTTCTAAAAAGCTCCTAGCGCCAAATCTAGAGACTTTTTTCTGCTACTGGAGACTTTGGAGACAACATCTAAAAGCAGCGAACTCTGCTCTCCAGAGCAAGTAGATTGGTAACCCCGCCTCCTGCTCTCCTCTATCTTGTCTGCTGTCATGATTCATGCAGCTATTATTTCATCCAAATGAAAAATGGAGAACAGATAAGCAGATCATGGCTTGTCTACAGTGAAAAGAAGGACTGGGTTATTTACTTTGGCCTTTTTGGAAACACAGGAAGGAGCAATCAGCTAAGTGAGCTTAGTGCTTGGAAAAAATCTTTCATTCCTTTAGAGACAGCATGAAAAGTCAGCTGAGTACAAAACATAGAGAGGAAAACAAGAAGAAAAGGGACAAGAAGAGAGGGACACAACCTAGAACAGATAATGGATGTCTATTCTATTAACATTTATCTATCTGTAGAATGGGTCTTTTTGAAGTCTTCTCCATTCAGAGGGCCCCCTGCCTGTCTTTGCCTAGGGCCCCGGAGTTCCTAAATCTGCCCCTGACTGTGCATATATGAGGTCTTCATTTAAACATGGCAGCCAGCTCCACTCAGTCTCAGTTCACCTGAAACAGTTTAGTTTAGTAGATAAGGGCCTGTTTTAAATAAATCGATATATTTGAATTTCTAGAAATCTAAAACTTTTTTTGTTAGTTTTATTAAGTTGGTTGAAAATCAATTCACTAAAATGTTTGGGAGATTATACAAAGTCCTAGTTTGGATAGAAATACAAACATTTTAATATTTATGGTTGTGGGGTGGGAAAGGGGGCCTGCCCAGGTGGCCACTAATAAAAGAACCGCATCTGTTGATGTTTTATTTCATTTCATGTTTTTTTTTCATGTGTATTGTGTAATCATTCAGTCTTTTTAACATATTTGGACTAAAATCAGCATTTTTATATCTGAAATCCTCTGATCTAGCGCCCCCTGCTGCCTGTTCACTCCCCTCCTCCTCTCCTCGGCAGCAGCTGCCTCTCCTCCTCAGACATGGAGAGCTGCTAGAGACGCTGCAGCTCCGCTCCTCCTCTCCTCTCCTCTCCTCCGCTGGATGCTGGATCTACCATGAAGTCTCCGCGGCTCTGGGCGGCCCTGTGCCTCCTCCTCCTCACCGCCTCCTGCCGCCTCTGCTCGGCCGCCAGACACGGTAAGAGCCGGGGGTGTTGGGCTGTGATGGAGAGCGATGCGCTCCGCGGGGTTTAATGAAGTGCGCTCAGCGAGGAGCGGTGCGTAAATCACGACTTGGATCCATTAACCGGAGCCAGTTTGCTACACTTTGGAACCCATTTCAGATTATTCTGTAATCTGTAGATTTCTGGTGATAGTTTGATTCTTTCTCTAAAAGTTCTTCTCTTTATCTCCATCCTTCATAGATTAAAATATCCCTGGAAATGAAAACAGATTCCCCCAATTTAGGTATAAATCAGGTGTTTATCCGTTTCTGATCCATTAAGCTTTAAGTGAAGACAAACACTGAAGTCTGTTCTGCATTTCCTGCTCCGTTTATCTGCCTCTCATCTGTGACGCAAAGCTCTGATGCGCCTTTTTGGCTCAATGAATCATTTTGTTTGTTGTGCAACAAGAAGGAAGGCAGAGAGGCTGGAGGAAGGATCCCAGGAATCAGCAGCTGATCTAATTGGCTCTCCTGGAGGAGGAGCTCTGATTCAGATAAACACATATTAATAAATGAGGCTTTATTTAGGGAAGCTCAACACCCAAACAAAGCGAAGCTAAGAGATAGAATGTTTATTTTAAAGAGAAAGAGGTTCTGCGATTTAAAGGCAGAACAGGATTAAACATGATCAAATATTTGGTAAATTTAACTGAAATCTGCTGTGGAGTCATCCTGGTGTTTTTTTCTCTGACTTCATCCTGTTTGCTTCCCAAAATCCAGCAGAAAACTCCAGATGCTTTTTCCCAGCATGGAGTCCAGGCTGAATGTAAGTGGAGAAACAAGCACGTCAGAAAGTTATGACTCATGACTGATCTGACCATCTGCGCCCTGTGAGCACTACGACTCAACGCGCACAGAGGTTCAGCACCATGGACAGATCCACGGTGCTGAACCTGCCTGTTTCCCCTTCAGCACCATGGACAGATCCACGGTGCTGAACCTGCCTGTTTCCCCTTCAGCACCATGGACAGATCCACGGTGCTGAACCTGCCTGTTTCCCCTTCAGCACCATGGACAGATCCACGGTGCTGAACCTGCCTGTTTCCCCTTCAGCACCAAAACAGCTGGAACCAAAGATCAGATCCATTAGAAATCATGCTTTAATCCCACTCTGGAATATTTTCCTGATAGAAAAGGCTGGAATAGGATTTTTTTTTAAAGCTATAAAATAATAAAACAGTTATTCTAAGAGTGTAGAGGTAGATCAGGATGTTGGTATTCTAAAAAATGTAGTAATATTTTAGTTTTCAAAACGGGTGACTAAAGAATATATGAGTTAATAAAGAGTAATATAAATATATGAGCACCTTCTAATAAACCATCAGATAATAAAAACCTGTCAGTGACATTTTACTGTCTTCACATTTCCTGTTGGAGCCATGGTGGAACATCCAGACCTTTACTTAGAGATAAGAATGAATGATTATTATCTACAAAGGTTCCATAGATCAAGGGGGACGGCCTCCAGAAAAGTAATAAGCTGCTGCGGTCGTCTTAAAATCTATAAACCAAGGGAACTCTGAGTTCTTACACTTTAAATCATGCTGAGTTAATAACTTTTATAATTTGTGAAGAAATGTAAATAAATTTAAGGCCTTGAGGAATAATTCTCCTTTTTAAAAATTCTAAGCTATCTCTTTAGTTTAGCCATTCAGTCTCTTTGACTTTAATTTTCAATTCAGGTTAGTATTGACAAACTGTTCACCTTATATTGATTTCTAAATTAACATTTTGCTTTTTTCTTATTACATATGGGTTTGTTGGTCTTCTCTTTCCTCTGTGTTAAAGGACCCAAACTAGATTTATAAAGATCAAAGTCAGAGTGTTTTGACTTTTAAGAATATTCCACTGCAATTAAATAAAACCCTTTAAAAATCAGTTTAATTCAATTCAGTTTATTTCTATAGAGCAATACAGAACACATGTCATCTCAAGACTATTTACAGTTCACCAGATCATCCAGTCAGATTACTTCAAAGTTTTCTATCTAAGGAAAACCAGCTGATTGCATCGACTCATTGACTCTTCAGCAATCCCTCACACTAAGCATGCTTGTAGCGACAGTGGAGAGGAAAAACTCCCTTTTAACAGGAAGAAACCTCCAGCAGAACCAGGCTCAGTGTGAGCGGCCATCTGCTGAGGCCCACTGGGGTTCAAGGAGACAGAAGCAGAGATAGAAAAAGAAGCATAGATACAAAAGGCAACTGTAGAATCTCCAACATCTAGAAACAAAGGTGTTGATGGCAGCAGCACAGCTGATATTTCTCTCCAGGATGGAGTCACAGCCAAACAGGAACAGACCAGATGAAGCTACTATGAGAAAAAGCAGAGAGAGCAGAACGTTAGAGATTGAACTAACAGATTCTGCAGAGTGGGAGAATAGAGATAGAATGAAGCAGAATGATGAAAAAGGGGTCCCTATGTCCTCCAGCAGTCTAAGCCTATAGCAGCATAACTATAGAGATAGCTCAGTTAAAGGACTGGAAATCTTTGGAGCAGAAATGTCATTCATGCTTTAAAAAGCTTTGAGGAATTTTATTTTTCATCTGGATAAATTCACCTTTTCATTCAGAGTTTTCTTTATTTTCATGACTATGAAAATTGAAGATTCACCCTGAAGGCCAATGAATCTTTTCCCATTTTTACTGCTGAAGCTCAATGATTTACTTTTCAGATTTTCCTGCATGATTTCCTCTTGTAACGTTAAATGAGCAACAATGTTCTACCCCATGAAACTCTTAGAAACATTGAGACGGGAACTTGTTTAAATGCCAAGTTTATCTCCACACATTCATTTTATCATACGTTGATTTAACTTCTAGTTTTAAAACACAGGCTGTTCGGCAAAAGCAAAGAATCTCGTCTGTGTTTTTCTCATCCCCCTCTGCTCTTGAGAAAAAGTCAGGATTCACCATAGCAACCAGTGACTCAGCTGTTTTTTTTAGTGTCTAGTTGTAATATTAAGCGAGTCAGCAGGTTTGACATTAATCCATTTTAGACGGCGTCGTTAACCCTGGGATTTTAGCTGAGCTCTGAACTCTGAGCAAAGAAGAAGCAGAACAGAACAGCAACATTTTATGATGAAGAAGATTGTCTGTAAATGTTCTAATTTATCTCAGTTTTAGGTTGTTTAACTTATTCTACATATAAATGTTTGCGTTTGCTGCGGTTTGAACAGGAGAGACCGGTTCACGCCGAGCAGGTTGATTAGAGGTTGGATTAAATGTAGCGTGAAATCATCTTTTTATGCTCCTTTATTGTTTTCATCCTGAACAAACCACGGCTGAAGACATGGTGTGTTTGTTTCTGCTTCCTCGGAGCAGCGGAATGAGAGCCGAGCGGCTCTGGTTTCCAACGAGCAGAGGTTTGCTGCTTCCTGAGCTTGATTTGCTCTGTCGGAGAGTAAAGGCTAGAAGGTGAAAGGTTCCTCTGAGCTGTGAGGAGACGTCCTCCCAGCTGTTTTCCAGCTCAGTCCTTCCACCTTAAACCTCACCTGCTGGCCTTAAAGGATCTGTCAGAAACCCAGAGATGATGAGGAAGATGATGAAGAGGAGAGGCTGGACTTTAGATGTTTTAATCCTTCAGATCATTTTGATGCTTCTGTATTTGTGCGGCAGAAGAAGAAGCAGGACGGAGCCCAGCTGTGATCAGCCCATCACTACGTAAAAGATGGAGGGATGTGATTAGGATCATTGTCTTCTTGTGTTAGCCGTGCTGTCATCATCACTGCTGCTAAACATACAGACTTTCACACATTTTGCAGCTTTCAGAAAGAAAGCGGAATGTAATTTAGTGCATAAATGTAGAGCAGAAAGAAAATAGCAGATGATTTTCAGCCTGTTTCTCTCCAGTGAAAACTGAAGATGATCCGCCACTCTGCAGTTTTCATTTTGGGCTCCCAGTTATGTTTTATTTTTTATTCTGTTTTGTCAAGTTTTATATCATTTTTGGTGTAATTTATTCCTTGGTCATTAGTTATTCTTTCTCTTATCTTTAGGTTATGTTTTCCATGGCTTTAGTTATTAAATGAATTCAGTTTATTTCTATAGCTCCAATTCACATCATGTCATCTCAGGTCACTTTCCAGTTCACCAGATCATCCAGTCAGATTGATTCAAAGTTTTCTATCTAAGGAAAACCAGCTGATTGCATCGACTCATTGACTGGAAGGCAATCTCTCACACTAAGCATGCTTGTAGCGACAGTGGGGAGGAAAAACCCCCTTTTAACAGGAAGAAACCTCCAGCAGAACCAGGCTCAGTGTGAGCGGCCATCTGTTGCCATTTACCTCAGTTTGTAGAATAACGAATGATGCTCTCTGGATTTTGTATAATAAAATACATACAAACTTATTGGAGTATAATTAGATATAAAATGTTGCAGCTTAAAGCTGCAGTTCTGCTTTTATCAAACATTTCTGCAGGATGTTTGATCCTTTATCTTGTTTCATCCCTGCTGTAAATAAAAGCCCCCGCATGGATTCTTCCTCTGATTCTTTCTCTGGTTCGTGTTTTTGTTCAAACCAAGACTCATACAAAGAGCTGAACTTCATCCATCAGTCTGCTCTTTACTGACTTAATTAGCCTTAAATTAGTCATGGCAGAACGCTGACTGAGTCGAAAACAACGAATCAGACGGATGGAGGGAGGATGAGGAGGAGAGGACGGAGAGCAGATTAATCACTGTGAGAAGAGCTGAGGTGGGAGATGGAGTGTCTCTTTCAGAGGAGATTCCCAGACAGATGCAGCTGAGGGAGATTTCCTTGGGTTGTCATGGAGACCGGGCCAGAGGTGTTTCCGCTCTCATGTTTGCATCATCGTAGGAAGAAAAAGTCAGATGCCGTCCGCATCAATAATTCACGCCGACCAAACGTCTGGCCCCCGTCCTCCTGCAGCCTTTTCATCCGATTCCACACTCAGCTCAGCTGCTTCCCGCTTTCAGGGCTGAAGTTTTCATTTCCTGCTGCGGTCAAAAGCTTCCAGGGATGGAGTAATCAAACATGTCCTGATCAATAAGCATCATTTTCAGACCTCAAGAACATAAATTATTTAGAAACGCCTCAGTGATTAAAGCAAGCATTCTTGGCTTCATAGAAGTTATAAAATAATGTTTATCAGAAGAAAGAATGGGTATTTAAATAAAGATTATTGAAACAAGCATAAAATCATTCAATTAAATCTAGAATATGATATTTAATGTGTTTTAAATCGGATATTTTAACCCTTTTTATAAATTCTTGCATCATAATCGAACTAAAGACATGCTCTTAAACATGTATATAAATGTACTATTTATCAGACCATATTGTCCCAATAGTTAGAAAATTTCAATTTAAAAATCTGTGTTTTTCCCGTTATCTTCTGCAGGCCAGTTAGTTCTACGTCAGCCTAAACACCTAAATTCAGCCAATCATATATCAACGCTCATTTGTCAATCAAATGTTTTCGGTCATAGCATCTTGATTCATGTGTCGCAGCTAATATACGCAACGGTTGAAATCAGAATCCTTTCCTTTCCCATTGAGTTGCGTCCCAGTGTTCACGGGGATGGACGTCTGTGTCTTCGGCAGGCGTAGAGCTAACAGAACTGGCAGCGTTGCGAGGCAAGGGCTCAAACATGGACGGCTGGAAGCCTTCTACACCAAACCAAGCTTCTGCCGCCCTGGCGTCCTCTTCCACAACATCTTCGTCCCCGCTTTCCTCCTCTAAATAAAAAATGGATGACGGAGGAGACTCATCCACGACCTCCGACACTAAACTCTCCTCCTCTTGCATGTTTCCGCTGTCCATAGCGTTCCTTGACAGCGTCGTTTCTAAGTCACCAATTTAGTGCTACTTGGTCCCAATGGAATTTCCCATTGGGAACCTGCTAGCACTAAGATGCTAACTGGTTAGCAAGATGCTTCCAAGACAAACCGGCCACAACCAAACTTGCTTGCGAACCTTCTGCCACAACAATCCCGCCTTCTTGATAATCGACCAATCACATTCACTTTATTCACTCGTGTAAAGTCGGGCACCACTGGGAGAATTTGGAAATGCATCCGTTAGAACAGACACTTCCCTACGACTTTAAACAGAGAGGGTGGACTTCAGCTTTCACAAATCAATTCAGCCAGGCTAACAATTCCCTTTAACGACCCCCTTTCAGAGACATGGACAGGTATCGGGTATTACAGGCTAACAAAGAAACAAAATGACTCCCATTCCAAATGGGCTGCTCCATTCGTCCAGTTCAATTTGCATGTTTCTAAACCAAAACAAGGCTTTTTGGTTTTGGTCGACTCTATAAAGCCTGGAACTCAAAGATATTTCTGACATTTTGAATTGAGAAAGCTTCCTGGATGGTAAGCGAAGCATCTTATAACTTGGAAACAAAAATCCAGTGGATTGTTCTTTAAACTTTTTTGGAATCAAAGTAAAGGTTGTTTTCTCCTTTGCAAAGACCTGCTGAACGATCTGTGATCCAATTAGACCGACTCTAATAACGACTAAAAACCGCTTGCAGAAGTTGACCAAAATGTTTCCTTGTCGTGTTTTTAAATGGTCCTGAAAACATTCAAACTAAGAAATCATTGTTTTTAGGTTTTTTTTATCACCTTTAAAGAGTTCTCTGGTTTGATTTAAGATCTGAAAATCTTTTTTTTTTTTCTGCAGGTTGTTTGTTTGAGAAGAAGTTGTGTCCCAGAGATCAGCTCTGCGCCGATGGTGAGTTTTACACGTTTCCTTCAATTGAAAATGTAAATCCGATTTAATACACAAACGAAAAGACTATGAAGATCTTCCACAGCAAAAAAGATTCAGTTCCAGGATATAAACAGATTAGATGAAACTCAGTTTTACAGCCTAATCTGCTCTGAAATAAACACGGATATTGATGATTTCTCTGTAAATATAATCAGACACATAAGTCAAAATAGTAAAGACATTGAAAACATCGGAACATGAAAATGGCTGCAAAGAATATCGAACCCAGTTTACCGTCACATTTTGATGTTACTGTTTAATGGTCAGTTACTACCAAATATTCTGCTTTTAACCTGAACGTTAGCAGGATAAATTGCTTTTAATTAAAAGATGAGATCTTAAAACAGCTTAATTAATAATGTCATCTGTCATTTCCCGCATACACTGCAAAAATGATATGAAATTAAGTAAAACTTTCTTAAATTAAGTGTATCTACCCTTAGTTTGAGCAAGTAAATAAGATAGTTTGCCAATGGAATGAGTATTTTTACATCTAAATTAAGATAATTAGATACAATATAATAGTTTTTTCTTCTTTCAAATGTAAATTGTCTTGTTCCATTGGCAAAGTGTCTCACTTACCTCCTCAATTCAAGAAAAAATGCACTTATTGTAAGAAAAAATGACTTATTTAGATTTACATTTTTGCAGTGTAAGAAGTGAAATTAGGGCATTGCTTGTTTTATGTTCAGATTAATAATTAAAACGAGGTTTTTAAGCTGAACTTAAGCAGGTTTTATTGTATTTTAACACCTACCCTGGAAAAACAATCTAGTAATAAGTACAAATCTCTTAAATTAAGCATATTTACCCCTTAATTTGAGTAGGTAAATGAGATAGTTTGCCAATGGAGTATTGGAGTAATGGAGTATTTTTCTTTTAAAACAAGATAATTAGATAAACTGCATAAGACAATGCAATTTCTTTTTTTTATATATATAAACTTGTCTTGTTCCATTGGCAAAATGTCTCTTTTTCCTCCTCAATTCAAGAAAAAATACATTAATTTTAAGAAAAAATAGCTTGTCTAGATTTAGATTTTTTCCAGTGCCGTACGTTTCCCAGTATAATCCGTCAGTTTGTGCTGAATCAGACGCTGCAGTCAGTAGTGCTGCATGTGTGCGAGTTTGCCTCCGTGGCACAAAGATGGAAGCAGGGAGGAGGCGACGAAGCGACAGAGGGAGAGCAGCGTAAACAAGGCCTCCGTTTAGACCAATCGTGGCTGGGCTTGGCCGTCTCCGTGACAACAGTGACATCAGTAGCCTGAGGACGGTGTGTCTCCCCGACGTGTTTGATGGGGATGACTCACCGCGGCCTGCGTGAACGAGCTGCTGTTCTGACGCCGCTCCGCTTCTGGGCTGTAAACTCTGAGGATGAGGAGGATCTAACCTTCAGCAGCAGCTTTTCCTTCTCTACCAGCTTATTTCTGCTCTTCGGTTCAACAAACTTCCTCCTGCCTGCATTGAAGAAGCGCCTAGTTGTCCTTCCAGATGTCTGAAGCTTATGATGCAGTAATGATCTCAGTAATCGCTGCGGCACCATGCCAACCGAGCAGTAAAGTGTAAAACCTGCTGAGAGGATAAACTGCAGTCAGTGTCTGAGTATAAAACAAAACCAGAGCTACACTATCAGTGTCCCTCATCGAACAGACAGCTAAAGTAGAAAACAATCCACAGCCTCGTTAAATCAGTCCAAAATTCTCCCCAACTGTTGTTTACGTTTGTTACTTTGGGTCTTGAAGGTACATTTTACCGAGAGGTTAGAGAGGATTAAAGAGGAAGATGATTAGTTTGTGTCCATCAAACTAAAAATCAGTCCAATTTGGGTTTAAAATACCGCTGTACATCAAAAACAGTGAGGCACGGTGGTGGCTGCATCATCCTTGGGGATGGCACTTTCAAGTACTGAGCTGTGCTGCTAATATAACAGGGCATTGAAGAGGTTCTAGATGCCCTGATTGGATGGGCCTCATGTTTCCAGAGATGCTCAGATGGTTTCCTTCTGTTTAGATGGTTTGTTCGGACAGTGCCGGGCTCCGCACCAGGAGCCCGGCCAGTACCGGGTCTCCGTGCCGGTTCTGCACAAGCTGCAGGAAGTCCTCAAAGACCTGATGGTGCAGGGTGAGTATCCGCACACGGCAACAGATTATTTTCCTGCTTCGGATGCAGCGTTTAACATCGGATGTGGCGAAACCTCAGGTCTGACGTGGAAGGACGATCTGACGCAGGCCGTCATCGGCCGCGAGCTGAGCCACGTTCCGACCGCCGCTCCCAAACTGGAACAGGAATCCTCTAAACAGTAAGAAAGTTCCCGTCTCCCGGCTGTTGGTAGAAAACATCCCAGGTGGGTCAGCTGTTTCTTTCTCAGGTCCTTCAGGCTGATGGGTCCTGCTGCTCAGAGGGTCCAGGATCCTGAAGGTCCAGCTGACCCTGAAGTGATGCAGCAGTATCTGGACTACATGGTCCTGGATCCGTCCCGGTCCTCCGTCCACATGCAGACTCCCCTGCTGGAGCCATACAGCTACCATAAGGTAGGAGCCGGCTAGCCTAGCGTGAACCCATGGTGGGGGGCCCCCTGCTGGCCACAGGAGGGACTGACATTCTGTGTCTGGTTCAGTTCGGCTACCAGGACCAGGAGGAGCGCTCCCTCAACTCCCTGGATGATAACCCGACCTTCCACAAGGAGCGGTCTTTGGAGCGGGACCGGCAGCTGCTCCAGGACCTGATGTCCCTCTACCTCACCTCCTCCCCTTCATCCTCCTCTTCCTCACAGTCTCTGCCCCGCCACAGGGCCGCCATATCTGCCGGCCTCCCCTCCTCGTCTTTGTTCCCTGATCTGGACTTCCCTCTGGACTACAGCGAGGACTACATCTCCCAGGTCTCCCAGCTGAGGAAGCAGCCGGAGGCGGAGAAGAAGCAGCAGGAATATGACGCCCTGTCAGGACTGGATGGTCAGATGTCTCCTCTTTTGGCCCTCATTGCCCACCGTAGTTTAATTTCTCTCTATTAGTTTGTCATTCCTTTATTTTCTGTCCTAATCCTTATTTTTTTTTTTTTTATTACAGTTTTTTTTTCATTTGTGTTGATGTGTTTCCCCTTTGAACTCACTGTAATCACCTGCAGTTCTTACTTTCCTGCAGCATCGGCGTAACGACACAACAACAGGCCCTAAATCAGCACTATCTGGGTGGGCCCATATGAAGTACAACAAGTGATAAATGTTCAGGATACGGCGACTGTTCCATAAATCGGCCGAGAAGATCAAATTATTAAATTCTCAGTAGTATATGATCACACACTAAAAAATAGTGACTGCGCACCGTGAATGGAACCATTGGTGACACGCACCACCACATCCATGAAAACATGTTGATGGCTCACCATGGATGTCCATGAAAACACATTTGGTGTAGCGCTACACATCCATGAAAACACGTAGGTAATCATAAATCCTCAAAAGCGTGTATTTTAAACGTTATCACTTTACACACTACTGACAAAGTGCGACGCAGATGCCCGACAGACCAATCCAGGAACCCGGTCGCAATCTTTAGTCACTGAACTGATAGAAGCAGCAACGTCCGACTGTCGCACTTCAGTTCTTTGAAAGAACGTGTTTATTTTGGGAAGTTATTTTCCGTTTCTTTCCTTTTTCTTTTCTGGAATCGGCATAAGTACCTCCTTTTGGTATCCATCGTCGCTAACACATTGTACGTAACGGCTATGGTTTAATCTACGCTCTGGTTTTAGCATACGTGATGTGACGTCTTGCACGCTGTGCGCACTTCACGAACGTACGTAATATGTTCACTCTGTTCTTCATTACCCATAATTCCAAGTCGTAGTGTAAAAAAATAAAATACTCAAATACATCGTTCTTTTATACGGAAGAGGTTTAGGGCCACTGGAAAAAAAAAAGTTTACTGATTTTAAAATTGTATTTCAGTTTAGTATGAAATTCTGACTTTTTTCTCAGAATTCTGACTTTTTTTATTGTCAGAATTCAGAGATTAAAGTCAGAATTCTGACTTTTATCTCAGAATTCTGAGAAAAAAAGTTAGAATTCTGAGAATTCTGAAAAGTTAGAATTCTGAGATTAAAGTCAGAATTCTGAGAAAAAAAGGTTAGAATTCTGACTTTTTTTATGAATTCTGACTTTTTTCTCAGAAATCTGACTTTAATCTCAGAATTCTGACTTTATTGTCAGAATTCAGTCTTTTTATTGTCAGAATTCTGAGAAAAAAAGTCAGAATTCTGACTTTTTTCCCATACTAAACTGAAATAAAATTAAAAAATCAGTTAACTTTTTTTTTCCAGTGGTCCTAATCCTCTTCCGTACTTTTAAGATCTTTATTGCAGTTTCAAACATATTATGAGTGTATATTTTACCAATCGTCTAATGAACTATTCAGTTATTAACACAGTAATTAAAAGTATCACTTCCTGCTTTACTATCGGCGTCATGTTTAAACGTCTCACCATCATGGTGAAATATGCCATGTGTTGGGCTATAAATGCGGTCAGTATCAGGTGCGTTTAAGAGGAATTTTTTGCACCATTACATCTGTAAAGAGACGTCCTAGTCTACAGTTGCGTAGGGGCCACCAGGTATCAGTGATGGGGCCCCTAGGAGGTCATGGGCCCCTAAGCAGCTGCTGTCACTGCTTACTGATAATTACGCCATTGTCCTGCAGTCATTACCCTGCTCCCTCTTCCAGAACGCTCCCTGCAGAGACTGGCTCTTCTGCTGGACCACTACGGCCTGGATGTGAAGGATCTGACCCCGGAGCAGAAGGACGACCTGCCGGCGGCTCTGAAGCAGCTGCAGCTCGACGCCGCCTACCCTCCCCAACAAAGTGAAGGTGGGTGAAGCCCTTTTTCCACCGGTTTCAGCTGCAGGATCTGATCCCACTGAAATGAAATGGCTTTGTCTGTGTTTCCATCAGATCAATACGGAGATGATGCAGCCAAGAAAAAGGTGAGTGTCTCTCATGGTTTGCATGCATAAAGTGGATTATGTTGAATCTAAGTGAAGAGAAATGAAGCTAAACTGATGATGATGACAGGAGGATCTGTTATTATTCATTCTGCTTCCATCATATTTTCATCGATTGGTGAAAAAATAGTGAAAGATCTCAAACCTGGGCGTGCAGGTAGAGCAGCGGTTAACACGCACAACCCACATAAAGAGGCCTTAGTCCTTGACGCGGCCGACCCGGGTCGAATCAGGCCTGTGGCCCTTTGTCTCTCCCCCTCCCTCATACCACCTTTCCTGTCAGCCTACTGTCAGAAAAACGAGCCACTAGTGCCGCAAAAACTCCCAAAAAAAAAAAGATCTCAAACTTTTAAATGTTGAAATCTTGATGATTATAGCAGCATATTATGAGCATAAACTTCATTACTTTGTACACTGGAAAAACCATGTAGAAATAAGTAAAAAAAATTATTAAGAGTATTTATCCTTAATTTGAGTAGTTAAATTAGGTAGTTTGCCAAAGGAATTGATATTTTAACTCTTAAAAGAAGATAATTAGCCTCCCCTTCTATTTTAGAAGTTCTAGGAACCACTAGTAAACCTGCAGATTGAGAGCGAAGTGCTCTGTTAGGAACATAAGGAACAATCAGATCTCTGATATCAGATGGAGCTTGGCCAATTAAGGCTTTATATGTGAGAAGGAGGATTTTAAATTCCATTCTGGATTTAACAGGAAGCCAATGAAGAGAAGCCAGGATAGGAGAGATATGATCTCTCTTTTTCATTTTCATCAGAACTCTGGCTGCAGCATTTTGGATCTATGACTCAAGCAAATTTGGACTGGATAAGTCGAAACAAGTTTGTTCCCTAAAGGTTTTAGTGGGGAGTGTGCTAGAGGAGATTAGGGCACAGTGACAAAAGTGCTAAAAATTTATTTTTCTACTTTTAAAAGGGAATCTGGTCAGACAAATATGCTGATTTCCACTATTAGAGACCTTCTGCATGAGACAAAGCCTTTGCTCCGAAGAGTTATCCGTTATTTCATTGAAATTTACCAATAATATCACCAAGCCAAATAGAAAATAATAATAACAGAACAATCTTATCTAACACAAGGTTACATCCCCTGAAATGGTCGCATGATTACCTCCGACCCCTCCTTGGAAAGGTCTGAGCCTCTAGTTTCCAATGATGCTGGCCATTAGGGGGCGGGGCTAAAAATGAAAAGCTGCTGTTGCATTACTCCCGCAGAGTGACACATGTCAGGTGGAATTTTAAATGTCATTTTATTTGTTAGAACAAGTATAAAACAAAAAGTACATGTGTAAAAAACAATTTTGAAACATTTTGGAGAAATTTTAAAGCTCCATTAGAAAGGCGTGTTGATGAAACACCATGTGACTGTGTTTTGGCCATTTCTATAAATAGATAAACATGAGCAGGTGTCAGTTGCACAAATACTTTCCAATAGAGTTAGAGTTTAAACAGTGGACTGAACCTGACGGAAGTTTAAAGCCTGAGTTTAAAGTTTCATCAGATTTTCTCTCTGAAGCTTCAGCTCTGAGTCGCCTGTGGATGTGAGCAGACCTGTGTGCAGTTCAGGGTCCGTTGGATTGAAACGGATCCTGCCGTTTGATCTCTACATGATCATTTTCTGCATCAGAGGTGTTATGTTTCGCCATTTTCATCCAGTTTCTCTCCCTCTGCTGTATATTTGGACTGAAATCAGCTCAGAGAAAGAAAAAATAATCACTGGAGTCTCTTACATGTGATATCTACAGACCTGCGATCACCAGCAGATGCTGATTTTCACCTTTCCATGATTTTATTCCAATAGATCATATATTTTGTTCATAGGAACTGGAAAATATCTTTCCGTCTGATGAGTAGTGGTGCTGTGGGCTCCTTCATTTCCATAGAAATCCCTAAATCAGCATCAAGGTGGGTGAAATAAATCAGAAAGAACCAAAGCTGATGACCTTTGTTTCCACCAATCAGCTCACAGAGGCGGTGACGGCGTACAAGACTGTTATCCAGAAGGCTCCGCCCCCCGCCGCCAAAGCAGGTGGAGGAGAGCAGAGGGAGGCGACTCCGCCTGAGGCAGCCAATCAGAACAGAGGAGGAACGAGAGAGTTTGGGTACATCGTCACCAACCAGAGGTACAGCAGCTTTAACCTCCTGGATGATCAACCAGTCGATCAGTTTGTCTGTGTTTGTTCGTCACGTCAGGCAGAGAAAATGTGGAAAACTGCTTGGAAAGATTTTTACTTTCAGAAGAAGAAGAAAACAAAAATGGTCTAGAGACAGAGAGGAGGAAAGGAAAAGAAGAAGAGGGGGAGTGAATTAGGCAGGAGATAGAGGTGGAAGAAGGGAGCAATATGGAGAATCAGGAAGTTAATGTATGGAGAGAAGGGATGGCTTCCTGTCGCCCTGAGTAGGAAGCCAGAAACCAGCAGAGAGGATCAGGGGCGGGACTTCCTGTCAGAAACCAGGAAGTCCTGTAGAGGTGGTGAAGTGTCCTGAGAGTCAGGGGGTGTTTGCTTCCAGGACATGATCAGAGACCGAGGCGAGGCTGCCGGGGTGCCTTAGAGCTGCGATTGGGTCTGTAGTTTAAACCCCTCCCCCCTCTGTGTGTGTGTGTGTGTGTGTGTGTGTGTGTGTGAAATGGGTGTGTGTGTGTCCATGTGTGTGTTTGTCGCTGCAGCCCCCTGAGTCTGAACGACGGGGTGCGTCTGCTGCAGCTGCTGTCAGAGAGGATCGGCCTCTCCGCCGCCGCCGTCGTCAACATCAGGTGGGTCAGAGGTCAGAGGTCAGCAGCGTGCGCTTACACTGGAAAAACCATCTAGAAATAAGTTAAAAGTTCTTAAATTAAGTGTATTTACCCTTAATTTTCATAGGTAAATGTGATAGTTTGCCAATGGAATGAGTATTTTTACTCTTAAAATAAGATAATTATATAAAATGCACTTGAAATAAGGCCATGTAATTGTGTTTCCTTATTTTAAGTGTAAATAGTCTTGTTCCATATGGCAAAATGTCTCTTTTACCTCTTCAATCCAAGAAAAAATGCATTTATTTTAAGAAAAAATGACTTATGTAGAATTTGTTTTTTCCAGTGTAAAGAACAAGCCGCTGCAAAGAAACTGGGAAAGTTTCCTGGTTTTCCTCATCGTTCCTCCAGCTTTACGTCCAACTTTCATCCTCATCTGTTTACCTGCTACTCTTCTTCTCTGGTTTAAATTTGACCCTCATGGAGGTCAGACAGGAAGCCATGTTTACCGCATGGAGAAATCAAGAAACAGTCAGCACTGGAAAAAAATTGAACTCTAGATCAGTCATTTTTTTCTTAGAATAAATGCATTTGTTTTTGTATTGAGAAGGTAAAAGAGACATTTTGCCAATAAGCAAGACAATTTACATTTAAAATAAAAAAACACAAATGCATTGTCTTATTTCCAGTGCATTTTATCTAATTATCTTATTTTAAGAGTGAAGAATACTCATTCCATTGGGAAACTATCTCATTTTCCTACTCTAAGTAAGAATAAATACACTTAATTTAAGAAATTTTTACTTACCGTATTTTAAGATCATTTTTCCAGTCAGTACACTGGATAAATCTAGATCTCGATAAGTAATTTTTTCTTGAAATAAATGCATTTGTTCTTGGATTGATGAGATAAAAGTGATATTTTGCCAATAAGCAAGACAATTTACACTTAAAATAAGAAAACGAAACAGTTTAATCCTGATCAACTCAGTAAAACTTCTTTATTTTATGCGACAGAATCATTTTTACAGAATCACAAAAACTAGAATATTAAATCAAGAGACTTGTTTAAAAAACATTCTTATATTTTAGTTATTTAAATTAAAAAATATTTTAATATTTTTTTCTATTTAATTTTTTTCTATTTAAAAAATATAAAAAAAAATAAAAATCTTTCAATTTTTGTATTTCATGTAAAAAAGGGTTAAAATTTGTTTTTTATTTGATCATATAATTTTTTCTGTACGATTTACAAAAAAATCAAAACCTTGAAAATCTAGTTAGTTTTAGTTTTAATACATTTTAAACGCTGTTGTTCAGCAAAAACAATAACATAAAAGCAAAAGACAAAATCTAAATTAAAATTAAATATTTTTAAATAACATCAATTATTTGGAAATTTAAATAAACACATTTTAAAGAAAATTATGCTAAATAAAATGTTGTTTTCATGAATATTTATTTATTTAATTATACATTTTTTATCTTTCAAAAAAGAAAAAAATAAATAAAATTGACAGAAAAGAGTGCTTCTTTTATTGTTTACAGGTTGGAATCATTTGGGGATTAAAACAGTTTTGCATAAATTATAAAAATCTGGAGGAAAATGAATAACAGATGAATCATTAAACCGGATGAAAGCATCAGAGTCTGGGCGTGTTCATGGTTAATCCCGTTTCCATCCTCTGCAGCGTGGTCGGACCGGCCGTCACCTTCAGAATCAGACCAAACGCCAAGAACCTGACGGCTGCAGACGCTGCAGATAAAGCAGGTAGGATGCGCAGCTGAGAGGAGAACCGGCTCCTGGTAGGAGGATCTGAAACCGTGAGGAGGAGCTTAAAGGAGGTGGAGCCTGGACAGGAGGAAATTTCTAATTGCTCATGGATCATGTCTTTGGTTTTAGTCGCAGAGAAGAACTTCCTGGAATCAGAGACGGGGTTAAAGGTCCTTCAGAGCGGCGCTGAACAGGTGAGAGCCGATGGTCCCACAGCCAGATTAGGGTGATGGAACGGAGGCATTCCAACTGAAAAACATGAAGCTCATTTCAAAACAAAAGAGATAATGCTTTCACCACCTCTGGATGTTTCTGGTACCTTACTGTCTAATCTCTGTTAATCTCTCTTAATCTAAACCCAGGATTAAAAACCTTCCCTTCAGCTCTGAAGGTGTCGGTCCAGCTGAGGATGACCTCTGAAGATCAGTTTTTTTAATAGATAAAAAGTGTGTCTTCTCCCCCACGCCGCGCAGATAAATGAGGGGAAGTCGTTGCCCCTGGCAACCAAAGTCCAGCCGGGCTCCCGCTGGGTGTTCGCCACCCTGGTGTCCATGGCGTGCATCGGCGGCATCCTAGTGGCGGCCATGACCATCGCCTGCCTGCGTCACCACGCCCACCGGCTGGCAGCTAAGAAGCTGGGCCTGGGACCCGAGGGGGGCGCCTTCAGCCACCAGGAGTACCAGGTGAGGGGGTCCAATCCACCGCCATGCGCCAAAACTCAACCATCGTCAAAGGTTCGACTCCTTACAGACGATTAGAAAAGGAAGAGAAACAAAAAAAAAAGATGTGGATCTGATCTCTGGATCAAACAGATAAAAATATAACAGTTCAGTCAACAGAAACAAATTCACTGCAGAATAAATTAAGATGAATAAAATGAAATCATATTTAAATGTCAAATCATTCTGGCTTAAACATGTATATAAATGATAAAATAAATACTCTTTATCAGACGATATTGTCCCAAAAGTTAGGAAATTTCTATTTCCGTTATCTTCTGCAGGCCATTTAGTTCTACGTCAGCCTGAACACCTAAATTCGGCCAATCATATATCAACGGTCATCTGTCAATCAAATGTTTTCAGTCAGAAAGTGTATCTGGATAGCACATCATAAAGTTATTCTTCTGGACGTTCGTCACGAATTAGGATGTTTTCTCTAAAGCTTCCAGTGTTGTATTGAAGTAGCTGTAACATCACGATGCATGCCAACGTGCTCACCAGGACCTGTGTCGCCAGCACATGGCCTCCAAAGGCGCCTTCGGACGGCTGGAGGCCGCCGCCCTGGGCGCAGTGGGAGGAGCCGGCGGAGGAGGCGCAGCAGGGGGAGCCGGAGCAGCAGGAGGCGGCGGGGCGGACTCCAGGGTGAGCAGTGTGTCATCCCAGTTCAGCGATGGAGCCCAGCCCAGTCCCAGCTCCCACAGCAGCACGCCGTCCTGGTGCGAGGAGCCGGCGCAGGCCAACATGGACATCTCCACGGGTCACATGATCCTGGTCAGAACCTGAAACTGATTTAGTTCCTCTAAATGAAACAATTTATCCCTAAACACTCATTTCTGTTAGGCCCCTCCCCTTTCCCCTCTGCTGGGCTAAAGCTCCGCTCAGATTCAGGGCGGCAGCTTTAGTAAAGGCTTCAAATGTTAATATATTGTATCTGCGCTGTGGTTCTGGTCCCGTTGGACTCCTTTAAGGCTTACATGGAGGACCACCTGCGGAACAAGGACCGGCTGATGAAGGAGTGGGAGGCTCTGTGCTCCTACCAGGCAGAACCCAGCTCCGTATCGGTGGCTCAGAGCGACTCCAACGCCAAGAAGAACCGCTGCCCCGACTCGGTTCCCTGTGAGTGGATCCGCCCTAACTTTAAAGCTCAAAAAGAGGTATTTATGGAGCAGAACTGGTGGAACCAGAACTTACTGGGCCATGTTCTGCAGACGATCACTCCAGGGTGAAGCTGAAAGCAGACAGCAACCCTTCGCGCTCCGACTACATCAATGCCAGCACCATAGTGAGTCTGCACAGATCTGAAGAACCTTAAAGTTGGATCTCTGGTGGTTCTGACGTCCGTTTGGACTCTTTCTGAACCTGCAGATCGAACACGACCCCAGGATGCCGGCCTACATCGCCACCCAGGGGCCCCTGTCCCACACCATCTCCGACTTCTGGCAGGTGAGCTGTGGAGTAAAAAATGTTGAGATATGTCTGTTCTTAGCCTCACAGGCTCCAAACGAAGGTCATGAGAGAAACACAGCCTCCTTCATGGCATGAAGGGGAGGACTGCTGTTATTAGGAGATCCATCTGACCAGTGGAAGATAGATTAACCTGACAGGGAACGGCCTTAATGAACTCAAGTTGGAAAGTTCTTTATGCCGGGGGTGGGTTGGTTCCCCTGGGGGTAGTGTGTGTGTGTTGGGAATTTGTTAGGTATAAATGAATGTAATGAATGAATTTTCTTGCTAGAAATTCTTCTGTCTCTGAGCTGTGAGCAGCTCCCGGCCCGGTTTAGGTCCCCTCCATGATCAGGTGTCATGGCCGCACTGTCCCGGTTCTTCTGCAGATGGTGTGGGAGAACGGCTGCACCGTGATCGTCATGATGACGGCTCTGGTGGAGGACGGAGAGAAGCAGTGTGACCGTTACTGGCCCGATGAGGGCTCCTCCCTCTACCACATCTACGAGGTGGGTGTTTGACATAAAGGAGGAGGCGTTTGGGTCGTCAGGCGTTACAGGTCGTCCTTCCTCCCTCTACAGGTCAACTTGGTGTCAGAACACATCTGGTGCAATGACTTCCTGGTTCGCAGTTTCTACCTGAAGAACGTGCAGACGCAGGAGACCCGCACCCTCACCCAGTTCCACTTCCTGAGCTGGCCGGCGAAGGGGATCCCCACGTCCACACGCCCCCTTCTGGACTTCCGCCGGTACTAGAGCTCTCAGACTATTCCAATCAGCTATGCTTCTTTGTGAAAGTATTCATAAGTTTTTTAAATTCCTCACATTACAAGCTCAAAGTGAAAAGATTTAATTTTTTGGGATGCTGATTGTGGTTTGAGGTGATTTTATGAATTTAGTGTTAATCAGTAAAAAAAGTATAATTTTTATTTCGGTCTCTGAGTCTGGGAGCGCCCATTTTAGCCCAAATATAATAACCCCTCCCTCCTGCCATCTTCCAGCAGTGACGTCACGGTCACCTAGCGCCAAAGTCAGCTGAGTACAAAACATAGAGAGGAAAACAAGAAAAGGGACAAGAAGAGAGGGACACAACCTAGAACAAATAATGGATGTCTATTCTATTAACATTTCTCTATCTGTAGAATGGGGCTGTTTGATGTGTTGTCTAGGGCCCCAAATTTTCCAAAATCCGCCCCTGGAAGGTTGTTATTATAACGTGACAAACTGTGGAGAGAAATAGAAATCAATCCCATGTCTTCACAGTATGGAACCCAGTGGCAGCAAATACAGAGAAAAGAGCAGAGGCCCTTAAATTGAGCCTTGTGGGACCCTGTAGGACTAACTTTTGACTGGATACAAACATGAAAACTCTAAACAAATTTTTAAAAATTTGCATTAGTTTATAATTTATGGCAAGGACAGCGCCATATTGCAGTGCTCTAATAGTTATGCTGCTATAGGCTTCAACTGCTGGAGGACACAGGGACCCCTTTTTCATCCTTCTGCTTCATTGCTTTACTGTCTCCCTTCTTGTTTCCTCTCATCTGGTCACGTTTGAATGTTTGTTCTCAGGAAGGTGAATAAATGTTATCGAGGACGGTCGTGCCCCATCATCGTGCACTGCAGGTAAGCCGATGACATAACATTATACTCATGTCAACATGGAACCATTTGCAGGATTTTGACTTTTCCTCATCGTTTTTCCATAGTGACGGTACTGGTCGGACTGGGACTTACATCCTGATCGACATGGTTCTGAACCGCATGGCTAAAGGTGCAGTAGAACCCCCTCAGAGGTAAACGAACCCTCCGGGTTTCAGGGGAGTGACGCTTTGAGTCTGTTTTCTTGCAGGGGTGAAGGAGATCGACATCGCCGCCACGCTGGAGCACGTCAGGGACCAGCGGCCTGGGATGGTTCGCACCAAGGTGAGTTCGGACAGAACTTTCTGTGCTGCACTGCAAAAAACGATCTAGAAGCAAAATGTCTTGCATTAAGTGTATTTGCCCTTAATTTGAGTAGGTAAATAAGATGATCTGCCAACGGAAACTAAATCTAGATAAGTATTTTTTTCTTAAAATATGTGCACCAACTCATATTAAGGATAAATATACTTAATTTAAGACATTTTGACTTATTTGTAGATCATTTTTCCAGTGTGTTTTTACTCCTAAATTAAGGTAATACAATATTATCCACTTAGAACAAGACAATGCGGTTATTTTTTCTCTTATTTTAAATGTAAATACTCTTGTTCCATTGCCAAAGTGTCTCAGTTACCTCCTAAATTCAAGAAATTGAACTTATTTTAAGAAAAAATGACCTTTTTTTCTAGTGTGAAACCTAAGTGATGCTAGAAGACAGACACTGCAAAAATAATCTAGAAATAAGTGAAAAATTCATCAAATGTTTGTATTTGCCCTTTCATTTCAGGAAATTTGGATAAATTAACCAGTAATTTATCTACTTCAAAATTGCATTTCAGTAAAAAAATCAATGCCACCAAATTCAGAGAAAGTTTTGCAGGGAGATTATGCCAAAAGTAGCAAGATGATGGATAAAATGTTGCAGCCATCTTTATTTTATGGCACCGTTCATTGAATCAAAGACAATAATTACATTTAGTTCACCTTCTTCTACAGATTTAACATAATTATTACTCATATAATGATGTCTGTTCCTCCAGATAAAGTTATTTTTGATTAATTTTAATGATCTTCTAAAGCATTTTGAGTCTGCAGGGTAAATAATACCAGAGAGAACTTCCATTTTAGACAGGATTCTACCAAAACAATGGACCATTTGTAAGGGATCAAAAATACTAACTTGCCCTTTAAAGGGTTGATCACATTTAGTTTAACACAATTGTTTTATGTCCTACCCTGCTGTAAATAAATGCCAAAAACGGTTGAATTATTATTTTCTGTCCAGGACTTTTATGCTTAATTTTTAAAGGAAATAAATTGTATGGTCTGCCAGCCGACTCCTTGCCGATGTGTGACCCATTACTTTCAATTTATCATAATTACAGGCACTGCAGCAACCAGGATAAATAGTGAGATGTGGGACGAATCCAAATTGTTCACTAGTCTCAGAGGAAAGTAAAACAGAGCTGTTAGTATCACTATAGATGACCTTAATTAGGTCACGAAACTTATTACCAAAAGTACCTAAAAATGCTCAGTGTCAAAAGCTTTAAAAAGAATAAAGTCCAGAAATAAGATAAACCTGTTTTCAGTCTGATATTATCAGTTGATCATACTTTTAAGAAAGCCTGATTGTGATTCACTAATAATTGTGGACATGCTTCATTTAATAAGGATGTATAATCTACATTTAATAAACTAATTGGTCTCCAATTTTAAAATATTTATCAATAGATTCATGAAAGGCAAGAAAAAGACCTTTAATATCATCCCTGAAAATGTTGTATATAAAAAGCCCCAAAACATGATTAAACTGTTCAATAAAGAAGAAACACTGCCCCCCGCTGTCCAACCAGGTTTATACAGGAATGACTAATTTAATGCTGTTAAAAATAATTTTTATGCCATTGTAGTGGTGATTGTTGCCAAGCCAAACATCCAAATAAAGTTCCTTTAAGCCACTAAGGTGAAGTTTCTATACGCAGGCAAAAAAATGATGGTTCTGGATTTCTATTTTTGCCAACAGTTAAAGAAAACAAACTTTTCTTTTATTCTACCTCTATTGCTCTGGTAAAAACCAAAGACCCCAAACCCAAAATGCCTGCTGGTCTTTTCCCAGGACCCTACATTTATAGAAAGTGGTCTGACCCACATTACCTCCTGTAATACCTCAGAATAATTCATAGATGAGGAAAAATAATAAAACAAAGATAAATAGAATCAATTATTAACCTGTAAATAAGCTTTCTAAATAATACAAAAAATATAAATTTAGGAAAATGGATAAAAAAATAAAAAATAAATAGCTCCAACAGCCATCAAAAAGTACCCATGCCTCTTTTATATTTAAAAAAACATGACAAAATCCTTCACTATTGCTACACGGCTGTGCATCTTTTTATGGCATTTGACTAAGTAGATGAGCTCTTAAATGATATATTACCTACGGGAAATGAAGTTGGAGAAAAAAAGTCAAGAAAAAAAGGTAAAAAGCTAATTGAAAAGTTAAAAAGTTAATAAATCCAGCTAACAATTCTATTTAGGTTTATAAACTAAAAAATGCAAGTGCCAGAATCAGCATTAATGCCTCTAAGGTTATGTTGCACCCAAATAAAATGTGTTTCTTTCACTCTTTCTTCTAGAAGCACTTTTGTTGTTTTTAATATATTCGGGCAAGTTAGCGTTTTTTTTTTTTGCCATCAAAATCTCCGTAGTATTTTCAATTAACAAAGGTATTAAGGTCTTTTCCTGGATTCCAGTAACGATTAGCTTGAAGTTTAGATTCTCACTGAGGGCCCTATAGAGGGTTAGAAATGTGGCCGACTTCATCCTACCAGTAGGTGGCACTGTAGCATCACAGGCCCTCTGCTCACAGTGTTGCTGTGTCACGTTTAATACCGTCCTGTCTGTTATTAGGTTATCTGCTGAAAAAAACATTAAATATACAATCAGCGATGCTGCAATTAGCATCAAATATGTTTTTATTTCAAAAACCTGCAGCAAGAAGATTAATTTCTCTCAGAGATGACAAATAAATCAGCTTTGGATCTTTTTATAAAATAAAAAATATCTCAACCTTCCAGCCTAGGGTCTTTTTGCATGTTCTCCCTGTGCCAGTGTGGGTTCTCTCCAGGTACCCCAGCTTCCCTCCCACGGTCCAAAACATGACTGTTAATTTACATTAAAAAATAAGTTTAAGTTCAGAAAATAAAATTAAAGCCTCGTTAATTATATTTAGGTTTATAAACTAAAAAAAAAAGTGCCAGTATCACCTTTAATGCCTCAAAGGTTATGAACCAAAATAAGTTTTTCCACTGTTTTCACTGGAGTGTTTTTCATGAATTTCTAATAAAGCACTTGTCATTTTTAAAATATTTGCAAAGTTGCCATAAAGTCATTATATTGACCATCAAAATTTACAAAGGTAATAAGGTTTTGTCCTGGATTCCAGTAACTATTGGCTTTTGATTTGCCCTTTAAGGGGTTAACTGTATTTTGTTTGCCATAAAGGCTTTTAAATGCCCTGATAATCACATTTAATGATTTGTAATGCCAATTAAGGTCTTAATTTAATGACATTAATAACCTGTGGTAACCATGGCAACCAGCAGAGGGCTCAGATCCAGGCTCCGGTTTAACCCGTTTTCCTCCTCAGGACCAGTTTGAGTTCGCTCTGACTGCGGTGGCGGAGGAGGTGAACGCCATCCTCAAAGCTCTGCCCCAGTGACCGTCCACTGCCCCCCCCCCCCCCCCCCCCCCGATGTGTTCAGGGACCTCCAGAAGATAAAGGTGAACCCATCGGATCTGAACGCACCATGAGCTTCTAGTCAGCCTGGTTTAAAGTCTTGTGGTTTTATTTTGGATTAAACAGATTTCCTCCTGTAAACTTTGACCCTCTGTGCCATCGACTCATCCTGTCTGAGTATTTAGTCGTTTACCTCAAAGCAAGATAAAAGTATATATTAAAAAAAAAAAAAAATATGCTATTTTGTATGGTGATACTTTAAAAATAAAGTTTTGTTTCAGTGTTGCAACAAATGTTAGACTTCCTGCGTCTGAATGACTGGATGTGAAAGAAGAATAAAGCAGGCAGGTTTTTATTTCGTTTCATTTATTGAAGGCACAACCTAAAATGACCGATTGTGACGGAAGCTCAGCGGGGACACTTCAGTACTCTTCTCCCTCGTCTTCCTCTGCAACGCTGTCGGTTCCCACCTCCTCGTAATCCTTCTCCAGGGCGGCCATGTCCTCCCGGGCCTCTGAGAACTCGCCCTCCTCCATCCCCTCGCCGACGTACCAGTGGACGAAGGCCCGCTTGGCATACATGAGGTCGAACTTGTGATCGAGCCGGGCCCAGGCCTCTGCGATGGCCGTGGTGTTGCTCAGCATGCAGACCGCCCGCTGCACCTTGGCCAGGTCGCCGCCGGGTACCACGGTGGGCGGCTGGTAGTTGATGCCCACCTTGAAGCCGGTGGGGCACCAGTCCACGAACTGGATGCTGCGTTTGGTCTTGATGGTGGCGATGGCGGAGTTGACGTCTTTGGGAACGACGTCGCCCCTGTACAGCAGGCAGCAGGCCATGTATTTACCGTGGCGGGGGTCGCACTTCACCATCTGGTTGGCCGGCTCGAAGCAGGCGTTCGTGATGTCGGCCACAGTCAGCTGCTCGTGGTATGCCTTCTCGGCGGAGATGACCGGGGCGTAGGTGGCCAGGGGGAAGTGGATGCGGGGATACGGCACCAGGTTGGTCTGGAACTCAGTGAGGTCCACGTTCAGGGCGCCGTCGAAGCGCAGGGAGGCGGTGATGGAGGAGACGATCTGCCCGATCAGCCTGTTCAGGTTGGTGTAGGTGGGGCGCTCGATGTCCAGGTTCCTGCGGCAGATGTCGTAGATGGCCTCGTTGTCCACCATGAAGGCGCAGTCCGAGTGCTCCAGGGTGGTGTGCGTGGTCAGGATGGAGTTATAGGGCTCCACCACGGCCGTGGACACCTGAGGGGCCGGGTACACCGCGAATTCAAGCTTGGACTTCTTTCCGTAGTCGACAGAGAGGCGTTCCATCAGGAGGGAGGTGAAGCCGGAGCCGGTTCCTCCGCCGAAGGAGTGGAAGATGAGGAAACCCTGGAGACCAGTGCACTGGTCGGCCTAAATGGGGAACAAAGAGCATTCAGGGTGTCAGAGCTCTACGGAAGAGGATTAGGCTCAAGAAAAATTTAAAATGTCAACCCATTTTTTTATTTTATTTCAATATGAGAAAAAAAAAAAAAAAGTCAGAACTTAAGCTTTTACTTTGGTAATTCACTTCTGCTTTATAACATGGGAATATGCATATTAGCTAGCTAAATAAATATTTTACAAGCTAAGATTTTTATAAAATCCCAGCAGAGTTCATTCAGAGAAACAGGAACTCAAACCCACCAGTTTGCGAGTTCTGTCCAGAACCAGGTCGATGATCTCCTTGCCGACTGTGTAGTGACCGCGGGCGTAGTTGTTTGCGGCGTCCTCTTTGCCGGTGATCAGCTGTTCCGGGTGGAAGAGCTGCCGGTAGGTTCCGGTACGAACCTCATCTGTGGAACAATAGAGACACTTGAGGTTTTTTTTCCTCCCCCCCCTGGTTTGGATTAATTTCAGATTGGATGTGAGAAATCATGCAGGCAGAATTTACCGATCACAGTGGGCTCCAGATCCACAAAGATGGCTCTGGGGACGTGCTTTCCGGATCCGGTCTCGCTGAAGAAGGTGTTATAAGAGTCGTCTCCACCTCCAATGGTTTTGTTGCTGGGCATCTGACCGTCAGGCTGGATGCCGTGCTCCAGGCAGTAGAGCTCCCAGCATGCATTGCCCATCTGGGCTCCGGCCTGGCCGACATGCATTGAAATACACTCACGCTGTGGAGGAGAGGAAGGTGATGAGGCACTTTTTAAATCCTCTACATCAACCAGAAAATATGAAACTGATGATTGAACTGCTTTAGAAGACGACATCTCTTTATGAGACTTTCTAATCCTGTCAAATAAACTGCTTCAGGTTTTAAGATTGTAACAGAAAACTGTAAAGCACTGATAGAACATGGGTTAACAGGAAATTTAGAAAAAACAATTATGAGCAATATTTATAGTCATTTATAGGGTTTTAAGAAATTTTTCCCCCAGTAAATTTTTCACCATCCATTCACTTATAAATCATCACTTTATTAAATATTTAGCTCCAAATGAAAACATTTAGCAAGCTAAATATTTAGCATAAATAGTATAGATTCCCAGGCTTTTACTTTGGTAGTTCACTTCCGCTTTTTGGAAAGGGAATTTACATACGTAGTTTGGTACTAAATAATTATTTAACAAACTAAATATTTAGTTTGAAGCTAAATATTTATTATTTATATTTAACAAATTAAGATTTTAATAAATGAATGTCATAGCGAAAAAAATGACCGGGGGGGGGGGGGGGGGGGGTTTAACCCTTATTCTCTTAAAAGGCGCCAAATAACCATAAATGTTGCTCCTAAAGTTTGACTGCTTCACTTTACAAACGGCGCCAATGAAAACAAAAGATCTGATAAATAAATAAAAGCTGCGGGGTTCCGTCCATCCTTCATGGTTCGATGAGTTTCCAGTTAACCGAAGGATACCGTTACTGATTAGCATAAATGTGGTTTCAAATTCCTAGTTTCCGATATCCGCGCTGTTATTTGAACGCACCATTTGAGCCGCCGTGTCGTCACTTCCCCCTTAGGTGCCTCGTTGTAGAAACCTGTTAAATCACGCTCTAACTGGGTCACATGAGTTAACCCCCCCTCCTCCTACCGCCAAAACCCCAGTGTGCGCAGCAAGAAAATCAGCTCCTCCCTGCTCCCCCCTCCCGCTATGTAACGTTCACGGACCTGTGGGGCGTTATCTAGCCGCCTAAAACAGTTACCGCTTTAATTTCCCCTTAAAACAAATGAAACCTTTTTTTTTTTTTTTTACCTAGGAAAAAACATAGTCAAAACCGGTTAATTTATAAGTAAAAATCTGAAATGCCGAGCGGTAAAACGCATTTTTTTCTTAGTTTTAAACTGCGCCATTTGGGCCTTGTTCGACTCTATTAACCGGAAACATAAAAAATGTCCCTACCCACCTATATAAATTAACTATAACGTTATTTAAATGTTCTCTTTATTACTAGCTGCTAATGATCCGTCCTTCCGTGCTTAACTCACCATTTTTAGGCTGTCTGTCTCCTTTGTGCCGACGTGCAAGGATGGGCTGTAGGAAGCAGAATGAAGCAGCGGGAGCGCTCGGTCCTATTTATATGTTTGCCGGAGAAGAAGGCGGGGCTTGCAGCTGTTTGAATCCGCTCTCCTCCTGACTGCAGACCGCAGATCGAGGCGTGGCTCAACGTAGAGGCGCGCCTCCAGCTCCCACAATGCACCGCAGGAGATGTATGCCAGAGAAGAAAGAGTGTAATAGACATCAGAGATTTCTCTTTTGTTTGAATGCATAGATGACAGAAGACCCCGCATCAATCGCGTTCCCCTATGGGCGCTGACGTGATTTGGTTGCGCCATCTTGGGGCGGTCCACAGCTCCTCTCAGTGACATTTGTTGGACAGGCACAGAGTCAATTTAATCAACTTTAACTCTCTGAATATTGAACAAATTTTTTACAGTTTTTTTTTTTTTTTGCTGAGAACAAACAAATGGTTCATTTTATTTAAATATTCTCAGTGTGATTAAGAGTAAAACAATATTGTGATAGGATGTATATCTGTTGCAAAGCACAGCCACTCATGCATTTTTATAATTTGTTATTAAAATGTACAAAAAGATATTTAAACAGGTATGCACAAGAGTTATTTTACGTCTTATTAGTGGGTGTAAAGCAGGAAGCCCACTGTAAGCCCAGGGCCACACAGTCACCATGAAGCAACATCTATATCAGGGTTCCTCCTTTCAGCTCCTGCACCATCCGGCACTTTTTACAGCGTATCTGCTTGAACACAGCTGAGGGAAATAACCAGGTTATTAGTAGGGCTCTAGAGAGCATGGCTCCAAGCTGAGGAGGGGATTCAGCCATTACATTCCGGTGTGGAAACAAAGATGCAGGACACTGGAGAAAGGCTTTCATTCACTCAGATTTAATAAAACAAAAGCTGAAAGGTTTTGATCTTTTCCTATATCCTGGAAATATCATAGATTTCTGTTAAAAGGTTTTTAGGACCTTTTGACAAAAACTACACCTGAGAGGACTTGTTCTATATTGTTTTTTTTATGTGTAAATTGAAAAAATAAAGAACTATGAGGAGATTTAAAACTAAATTATGTTATTTTACTTTTACTTACGTTGGTGTTTCCCATTCTTTGGTCTAGTTTTAGTGATAGTTATTCTTTCTTTTATCTTGAAGTGATGTTTTCCATGGCTTCAGTTATCTCCAGTTCCTTCTCTTATCCTCTAGTGTTACACTTGGTTATTCTTTATTTTGTAGTCATTAGTTTTATTCCCCTCGATTTATTCACAAGGTTGCCGATTGCCCAAAAAAAGTGAAGCCGTTATCCGCCATGTTGGTACTCCCCACTCCCACGGAGACATGCAGTGAAAATGCTACATGTGCAACACTTTAATGCAAAAACAAGCTGTTTTCTGGCTGCAGGAAGACGTTCCACAGGAAATGTTACAGTCAGTGGATAAACTAACCAAGAAAATCCATATATATGCAGATGAATCCTATAGTATGGCATGACGGAGTGTCAGGGGCCAGGCTGGAGATTTTTTTTTAATTAATATTAAGTAAAATAACAAGAATAAAGTCGTACAATTATGAGAATAAAGTCAAAAAACTACCAGATTAAAGTGGCAGCAAGAATAGCCATAAAATTATGAGAATAAAGTCATAAAATTATGAGAATAAAGTCATAAAACTACCAGATTAAAGTGGCAGCAAGAATAGACATAAAATTATGAGAATAAAGTCATAAAATTATGAGA